ACAGTACTGCTATGTACAGATCATACATGTACACAATCCTGGACTGTTACACAGGCTAAATACAGACTATGTATCTGTTACCCAATCGAGATGGTTTACGGCCGTTACGCGCGTATTTGGACGCGAGTGTGCACTGAGTTTACTCGCTTCATTCTGGCGTATAAATCGCGTCAATAGCGCGTCAAGATTTGTGTCTGAATTTAAGTCATTGGCGCGAATGACGCGATCCAGATGCCGGATCCATGGATCCATGGGATCCCCCAGAGACGCACACAGCTCGGGGAATTCCCCCACCTTATCCAGGAGCTGCGCCTGGATGACGGCCGCTTCCAGCGCTGTTTTCGGCTGATCCGGACCCAGTTTGACTACCTGTTGGAAAGGATCGGTACCAGGACATCCCTCCAGGATACTAACTACAGGCGCACGCTGAGATAGAGCGATGTTTTTTCTGTGCCACATACAACAACACGGACGAGCGGCCGCCAGCAGGAGTATGTTGACCACAGCGACGAGGAGCCAGCGGAGGTTTATCCCGCTAGCATTGCGATAGCTAGCAACTCTGCTCGCTAGCTTGCTAAGTTGAAAAGTAGCATTCTTGTGTGTGAACTGGAGGAGAGGGACAGCCTGTCTGCTGAGCACTGAGATCTGCCTTGGCCAGTAATGTGGCTTCTTATCTCTTGGGGTGAGTAAATCAATCAGTAATCATAGCATAGTTGCAAAAAAATGAATGAATCATGTTGTTGACTTCACCAGAGAATCTCAACGCTGATTGGCCATCGTGGCGCGTCACCTCGTAAAAGTTCCGTTTATTCAACTTGCTCTTTCGACGCGCGTTACGCGTGTCTAAATTCGCGTCAATCGCGCGAGTCGTCGCGGGACGTTTATTCGCATCTAATCGTCTTCACATTGACTTTACATGTAAATCATTCGCGCGAATGATTTCACTCGCGTCTGGTGTGAACACAGCATAACCCCTCCAGACCAGCAGGACCGTCCTCCCACTCCCTCCACAACAAGTTGGACGAGCGACGTTTGCTGGGACAAACCGGCAGAGTGGAGAGACTGCTGTGTGTTGGCTTACACAGAAACATGGCTCCATGACAACATCCCAGACAGACATACAGCTGGAGGGGATGCAGACAGACAGACAACTAGCTCTGGGCAGCATCTGCGGCTTCACCATCATCACACCATCGTGTGTGTCTTTGTGTCCCTGAAGACCTACCAGGACCTGAAGAGGTTCACCATGTTCAACGGATGGCAGCGTGCATGGATGCAGTGGCCCCTCCAGGAGACAGCCAGAGTGAACGTTTCGTGTCTAGCCTATCCCAAACGTTCATTCCGCAAAACTTACTAATTAAATGATCCTGAAGAAACGCTCTTTCTTCTTGCCTGTACTACTGTGTATGTACAGCAGAAATGACAATAAACTTGATTTGATAAATACATTTTTAGGTTTAATTCTCTTATTTTTTCCTCATGTTTATTTATACATTCCCTCCACATGGTTAAACAACCACATCCAGTAAAAATTAAGTTATTTTTTTTTTAAAAATATCGTATTTGTTGAAACTGATTTGCCGTTTATTGACTGCTATTTACAGCTCAGTCATGACTTTACAAATTTGTGTTGCAGCTAACTTCTGTTAAAACCATTTTCTCTCTGTCCCTTATTGAAAGCAAGCAAGTGAAGGCAAAATCTTTTTTTTTCCCCCTTTGATATGGCCATACAGTGTTTTTTATATGCTTCAAGACACATCATGAGTAAAAAAATCAGCCAGTGCCTGGGCTGAGGATTTTAGGAACCAATCTCTTCAAGTTACAGGATGAGGAGTTCTGTGTCATTATTTTTTTTTCAACAAGTTTCAACATGTATGACTGAATTACTCCAATATTACAACTGGCCCTGTGGCATAGATCAGTTGTACAGCTTGAGCAGATTTGAGGTGAGCTGCTGTACTTGAGGCTGGGAGGAGTGTGTCAGGAGAGAGATAGAGTTACCTAAAAGCCATTTTAAAGTAGGAAGGGATTATTTGTATGGGAAGAAACTTCTACATATGTGACTTTGTTACACAGAGATGAGTTCAAGGCTTTAATCAATGACCAGAGAGGGAATTTAACACTTTTGTTCTGTCCACAAAATAATAAAGTTTGTAATTTACCAAAAAGGAGCATTCAGTACTGATATTTTGTTGTATTTAAGATGACAGGTGGCTGAGTAACAGTTGTGTGGACTAATTTAAATGTGATCTTCCCTTTGGAGGTAGCAAGTATTTAATATGTGAGATTGAAACCTTTTGTTGTTCTGAGGATGAAAAGCAGTGAGGACAGTGCCAGCAGGTCAGACTCGTGGAATGTGTTGTTTGTTAAAAGAAATGATTAATATTTATTCTTAAATAATAAGGTGCCAATGATTAATTCTGCAGTCCATAGAGTAAATAATGCCTGCATCAGGAACACAAAAGACACTCCTGATATGAAAAACCACTGATGTCAATAAGTTGGGAAGGGGGTTGGATATGGTAAGAAATGTATCTAGTACATTGTCCAGAGTAGAGAACTGTCATGTCTGTTGTTTCTGTGCATTTGTATGAGATTTTAAAACAATCAAAAATGATAGATTTAGCTACACAAAGACCATGACTAAGAATAATCATTTATTCATCACATTTCTGCATTGATTTATATGGATAAATCAAAGGTGTTAAACTTTGCTCCGGTGACAGTGCTTCAGAGCGTCTCTCAGTGCTGCCAGCACCATGTCAACATTAGCTTTGCTGCTGTTGCATCCCATCAGTCCCACACGCAGCACCTGAAAAGACCAAGAACAACAAATAAAGTTTACATAAGCAGAAACAAAAAGAATGGCAGATAATAAAATTTGCTATCATCTCTTACCAAACCAACCGATGGTCCGAGTCCCCCAGAAATCTCTAAATTATGTGTTTTCATGATGTAGCTTGTAATCTCTTTCCAGTCGTATCCATGAGGAGCAACAATCGTTGTAACTGTTGGCAGTCTGGCTTGCTGCAACAAACCATTTATCATTTTTTATTATGTGTGATAACTTTTCTTGTTAAAACAGCTGCTTGCTTAAAGTCAGTTTCCCTACAGATTATTAGAAGAAGTCCATGATTATTTTAAAACTCACTTTTTCTTTGACAAAAAGTTTGAGGCCCATGCTCTCCAGACCAGCATGGAAATACTCCGCCACAGTGTGATGTCTTTCCCAACAATTCTCCAGGCCCTTATTACCAAATGATATAAAAACAGACCGTATAAACACTATTGAGCAAGTCATAATTTATGCAGGATTTTCATTTTGTACATTTCCAGGGTACCCCTCAGGTACACAAGAGTCTACAAGCCAGACTGGTGTCTCTGTGAGGCTGAGCATTGAGCTAAATGGTAATGCCATGATAATATACTCATGTTTAGCAAGAGTAATGTGTGCCATCTTAGTTTAACCTGTTAGTATGGGAATTTGTACCCTTTAGTGCTGAACACAAGGTGGTGCGGGTCATGGGAACGTCATTGTTCAGTGAGCACCAACCAGGATTTCAGTGCCAGTTTCCAATTATTAACAGCATAATATTCAATCTGAACATCTAAGACCTCGTTTTACTGTGCAGTTAAAACATCAAAATGTCCCAAAACACATATTTAGTTAATAATTTTGCTAATCAGCTGTATTGTATGATCTTTGTGATTGTATTTCTCCAAACCCATAATGCACTGGAATATATCTGAAAATGTGGTCTTTGGAAGATGTATTCAGTGCGTTTAATGCTTCATATAAAATGTCATAAATATGGAACTATACAGGCTGTGTGCTGCCAGCAAGAAGCTCCCAGGACATTGTAAAGGGAGCCGTTGTAACGAGTTGTGCTGACTGTTGTAAACCACATGTGCAAGTACTTAAGGGTTACAGCTTCCCCTACTCTGAAGGTAAAACGTGCCCTCTGCAGTATGAAGCATATAAGTGTGTGTCTTGTCTTTTAAAACAGCCGGTTTAATCAGTAGCTCAGGACTTGGGTTTATAATAACAATGCCCTCCTCAAGCTCCTCTTATTGCACCCTCTTGCTAGATCTTTTTTGGTGTTTCAGGGTCGACCCCAGCATGATGACAGGGTTATTGTTGTGCACATTAGAGGGTGATAATTGTCATTACTGCAAATCCTGGTGAAAAATGTGAACGCCAAATCAGTGTTTTCCAATAGCCGTTGAAAAAACGTTCACTTCTTACATAAGTAGTATGTTTCATATGTAGTCATCTTGCAAAAATCTTTTCAATGGAAAAATGCTCACAGAGAGAAAATTATTTTTTTTCTCGAGCTACAACAATTAGTTTATTAATTGATTAGTTTTCAGCAATTCAACTAATCTCCACCTATTTTGATAATAGATGAATTGGTTTGAGCAATTTTTTGTGGGGAAAAAAAGGCTGATTGTCAGATTTCAGCTCCTTCAATTTCAATATTTCTTGGTTTCATTCCTCCTCTGTGACAGTAAACTGAATTTGATTTATGGACAAAACAAATTATATCCATCATTAGTGATTAGAAAAGTCAGATGAGCTCTAAAGTCTGCAGGATTCATTCTCTGAAGAACACAAATGTCTTCATAGGACTGAAGTATCTCGACTAAGTGGTGGATCAACCAACCAACAGCGTTCAGCTTCTAACACTAAATTTGCCAAAGTAAAAAGTACATTCATTTATATCTATGCCCTGTTCTGATGATATATAATATTGGCACAGAGGGAAATGCTATGTCATTGTCACTTTACTTTTTACTTTTGTGGCCATCAAAGCTTCAGAGTTCAGCAAAATCAAAATATATTGTTCTAACATGTCCTACCTCTTCAGTAAGGACGGCCAAACTCTCCCTCAGAGAGTAAAAAGCAGTGACTGGACCTGTGTGGTGATATCTATAGACAGGAAAGGAAGAGGACAGACAGTCATTTTGCCAGTCTGCTAAAAATTAGATGACTGAAACATAATCAGATCCTGTCTGCTAGAAAAAACAATGTCTTACACTCTTGTCGGCTTTCCATCACATCCCCAGTAGTTTGCAAGCCAGCTCAAATCCAAGAAGAATGACACAGGCTTTGTCCTCCGGCTTAATATTTTCTGGCTGTGGACAAATTTAACCTTAAATACACATGTTACACTGTTACTGCAGGCATGTAAAAGTATGCAGTGTACAATTCTCACCAGGCTCTTTCACTGAAGGAAATGGGTGCTGTACCAGGAGGGGCATTCAGGACCTTTTGGGAGCCTGTGTAGAGGATATCTATCTCTACATTCACACAAACATTCACACATACACACAAAAACACATCAAAACAGGTAATGTGACATTAAATGTGTCTGGAAACATCTGTCAGGATTTGTCAGTAAACCTTGCTGGTCCATGTAGAGAGGGGTTCCTCCTATTGAAGCCACAGAGTCGACAAGAAACAGGCAGTTGTACCTGTTGGAAGAAATCAGAACACATCTGCTGTCATCTTTCTGTCTACAGATACAGATGTGATGAGGTGCGACGTGATGTCTTACTTATGGCACAGCTGTCCGATGCCGTCTAACGGATGCAGGACTCCTGTAGAAGATTCTCCGTGTGCAAGAAAGAACAGCACCGGCCTGTGTTTGGATAAAGCCTGTGGTGAGAGAACAGTAGGATTACACAGAATGAAGCACTGACTGGATTATTGACCTGACAACTGCAATGTTATGCAAGAATACCTTCTCAATGTCTGCATTATTGATGTAGCCACCAGGAGGCGCCACTATGGTGTTTACTCTGGCACCTGTTGGAGTGAAACACATGATGTTCTTGAACCGACTGAATCATCTTTAAAAGGATGAGAGCGGTGATGAGGTGAACTTTAACTACTATCAGCGAATCCAGTGAAAAGACTAATGGTGTGTGTCCACAGGGATGTTTTTCAATGTAAAGGGTTCCTTCCCTGTATTAGATTATTGGGTGTGCAACCAGGCCTTGTCTTCACAGCTGACTAGCAAGTATTCTCAAACCGAATACACCTTCCTACAACCACACAAACACTGGCTGCACCTGACTGGATAAACGCTTCACTTGTGGGTTGTCTGCTTCTGGATTTCCAACCAGGCCAACATGGCAGCCTGTTTGGAAACTTTCTCAAATTTTACAAAAATAAAAAATGGGTTTTTGGTAAGATTGGTAAGATTTAAGACAAGAACTGATCCACCCAGCTGTTGAATCTGTCTTTATTTTAGATCAACAATGATTAATTTAAAAGCTTTTCAAGAGCTCCTAAAACCTGCGAGTTGCAATAGATGCCTCTGATTTGCATAAAGTAGCCTCAACCTTAACTTTATGTAAATGGAATACCCAGTTTCTTAAAAAGCATCACAACATCATCAGGATGACTTGCACTGCACCTTACACAGAAAATGAAATGTTGAAATTATGGTTACTGTGGACATGAGAGGAATTTATTTTTCTTTGTGCCACAGAGCTTGATTTTTGTCCTAAGACTATTAACAGGTCATCATAATGAACATAGTCGCCACTGTTTATTTTGATTCAGTCTAAAATGCACCATTTTGCTCCTGTAAATACGGTACCAATTGTGCATAAATCCACAGCTGAAAATAGTCCCCACTGTTTGCTCTTGTTCTAGTAATCTTTGCCCAACACACCAGGGGTCACCTGCTTTCGAAAATTATACACATTGTGGACTTCGGTCTTTTCATAGGATTTGTCAGTTATAAAATATAGCGTTACCTATCCTCTCAGCCATCTCTGCTGCGCGCTCCCCCCAGATGCCGTTCACTGCTGCCAGCACATTGTCTCCAGGCTCCACTGCGTTGAAGATGGCGCACTCCATCGCAGTGTGACCAGTGCCACTCACAGCGAGTGTCATCTTGTTTTGAGTCTGGAACATGTATTGGATTCCACTTTTGATGTCGCTCATTATCTGCAACATAAAATGAGCTAAGTTTGGTAAAAATGGTAGAGAACATGTTAGCTGCAACCCCTAATTTGTACAATCACAACCAAGCTAAGTCACGACCGAGAAAATAAGGCAAGAAGTTCTCCATATGCAGCTTTTCAAATGTGAACATTGGCTAGTTTTCTTGTTCTTCTATGGTATTAACACAGTACTCATCGACAGTGTTAAACATTTCCACGGCATCCACTTCGGCATGAAATATTGGGCAAACACGGGTTTTAGTAATCACATTAAAGGTGGAGTACATGAGTACAATTGATAAACTTTGTGTTAAGTTCAGTTGATATTTCCTCACTGGCTGTCTGCTCTGTGTGTGCAAAAAAATGTAGAGTTCATGCACAACCCTGGTTCTGTAAATGGAAAACAAACTCTGTCTGACTGATCCAACATTAACAATATTCCAGCGAGTCCTGTGCACAAGCTCAAACATGCACAGGACTGGTAGAATTAGTGATGACTCACTTTCCCCCTAAATGGAATGCAGCCATCATTAATACACCAATGATTTCATTACTGTGACAAGTCAGAATATCTGCTGTGGTGAAAGTCTGAGAGGCTTTGTGCTGAACAAAATCTTAATTAATCTGATTGGTAACATCTGTTTTTACCTTTTATTTCAATTTAAAACAGCTGTATGAAAAAAACTTTATGAAGGGCCTTATTAATGAGGATGGTATGCAACCATTAGCCCCAAACCATCACAACTTCATACTTAGCTCTAATCCTAATGTGACGGTAACTGTAACCCAAGTCTTTAAACAGCCCTTTTAAATAGTAGGGACAGACCAAAATCTCCTCACTGTGTAAAAATGTCCTCACAACAATGATTTTAAACTGTGATACACACATTAATATTAAATTAAACACAAATTTTTATTAAAAAGGAAATTGCTTAGCTGCAGATTGGCAGTTTCATGGGTGAACAATTAATTAGAATTTTTCCTCGGAGTAAAAAAATCAATCATATAGTGCAGAAATACCATGTTAAAAGTAAAAGCCATGCACTTAAAATGTACTTTAGTTAAAATAGAGAAGTTTGGCATTTCAGAAAAATATACTTCCAGAAGCTTTTATATCTGAAGTAGGATTTATTATGTATATTTGGCCCTTTTACATAACCTGATTATTACTGGTTAATGTTGTTTGCATGCAAACAATATTCATCAGTAAATACAGCTGTCAGAGACAGGAAATGTAGTGCTGTAAAAAGTTCTGCCAGCCTCTTCTTGGATAGTCTTTATGGCCTGTGTTAAAGCTCCCTGAGTTACCTCAAATATCTCTGGATGCATGTGTCCAATAACAGGATTGGCTCCAGCCTCCAAGATACGTGGAGGAACGTTTGAAGGTCCTGGTCCAAACATGTGACGGTGAGGAACCACCAGGGGTTTCTGCAGACATTTAGGTGGCGGCACAGAAAGGGACGGCATGTTCTCTGCAGCGTGACAAGCAAAGTAAAACCAGAAAGAGCCGTGGAAGCAGGTCAAGTAACACCTCAGCTGAGCACACCCCTCCGTCTGACCAGTGAGGTCCTCAGGTCTGAAGTCCGTCACAACATTCTCTTCTTTTATCTCTCTCCTCTTTTGTCAACACTTTCTGCTCTCTGGGAGCTCAGGTAGCTTGATGCTCTCCCATTTTTAAAGATAAGGAAGTTACCTAGTATGTCCTCAAATGTTAATTATTAACTACTGACTCTCCAGAGTATCAGAATTAACTGTTGCACTGCTACATTCTTGGCCCAGTTACAGGGTTTCCTTGCTGAAAACACTCTTTAAATTGCATTTTAAATCTCCATTTACGCAAGGTTTTCACTTCAAGTCTATTTATAGTGCCAAATTGTAACTTAAGTTATCTCAGGGGACATTACAAAGTACTATAAAAAGAAACCCAACAATTCTCCACTCATGCAAATACTTTCTTTGGCTACCTTCTCGACCAGTTGAGGTGACAAGTATAAATTTATGATAGTCATAGATTTCCCTTTAGTATTTCAATTAATATCAATTCAATATTGTTATAAAATGGGCTAAAAGTGAAGCCAACTTTCAGGGACAAAATGAAAATTGTAATCATACCAGTAATCATACACCAGTCAGATGAACCGTTTAAACCACCTGCCCAATATTTTGTAGCTCCACTTCCAACAGTTCTCACCTGTGGAATCATGCAGCAAGATGTCAGTAGTACATCTTTTGAATCCTTTAAGATGTGAGGTGGGCCTCCATGGATCGGACTTGTTATTCCAGCACATCTTTAAAATGTTCAATCAGACTGAAATCTGGAAAATGGAGAGGCCAAGTCAACACCTCTAACTCTTCCCTGTAATATTCCTCAAACCATTCCTGAAGAGTGTTTGTGGTGTGGCAGGGTGTATTATCCTGCTGTAAGAGGCCACTGCCATCAGGGAATACTGCTGCTATTAAGGGAGGTACATGATCTGCAGCAAAGTTTGAGTAGGTGTCAAATCAACATGCACATGAATGCATTACCCAAAGTTTCTCGGCAGAACACTGGTGAGAGCATCACACTTCCTCTTTCATTAATAAATGACAAAATGTGAATCATCAGACCAGGCCATCATTTCTCCATTGCTTCATTGTCCAGTTTGTAGATGCTCTCGGGGCGGGCAGGGGTCAGCATGTATACTCTTAAAAATCATGATATGCAGCAAAATGCAATGCATTGTGTGTAATAACACTTTTTTTCTTCTTCTTTTTTTGTTTTTATCAGTCTGGCATTCAAGCTTTTAGAGGTTTGTGCTACAGTACTTCAGTGGGATGGGACCACTTTAGGTAGGTGCTAACCACCGGGAACTCCCCACAAGATCCGTCATTTTAGAGATGCTCTGACCCAGTTGTCTAGCCATCACAGTTTGTCAAAGACTCTCTTGTCCTTCTGTGCCCATTTTTGCTGCTTCCAATACTTTAACTTCAATGACTGACTTCTCACATTCTGCCTAATATATCTGAAACTTGACAGGTGTCCTTGTAACAACATAATCAATAATATTCCCTTCACCTGCCAGTGCTTTTAATGCTGTGGCGGATCATTGTAGGTTTCACAATGCTGTTTTGTGGTTTTATTTTAAGTCTAACTTCTATTCTTGGTCTCTGTTAAGAGTGTTTTTTTTGTTGTTGTTTGTTTTTGTTTGTTTTAATTTTTTTCACCAGAACTGCCGGCTGTAGTGATCATTAGAGAATCAAGGTTCAGTGAACAACAAATGTTTAGCAGCCCAAATATGTTGCATACACAGTATACAAAAGAAGCCAAAGAGTTTTACTCCATCTGTGGAGACTAAAATGAAATAAATTATGTGAAAATATCTTGCTAAAATCAAAGTTAGGTATGTAGATGTAGTTAGGTATGTGTTTGCTGTGTAATTTTGACAAAGTGGTTACTGAGTACTATTAATAACACAATCATTGTCTATCAACTTCTTGTCGAATGGCTGGAATGAAAATATAGGGATTATTTAATATCTCCTGTAGTAGACACTCAAGATCAGACAGGCTTTCAGTCTTTTTGTGGTTTTGTTTGAAACTGTACATGCAGCATTCTGGGTGTTGCTTATGTTACCTTGTGTTTAATGTATACCAGATAAAAAAAACCCCATCCTTTGCAACATTTTCTTTGCAGTTCTAAGTTCAATGGCTCTGTTCAACTTTAGTTTTACACATTCAGGTTGTTAATCTGCCCATAAATCCATTTCCAGACACCATTATGAAATCATAAAATGGTTTTCTGTTAAACCAGCAAGTGTTCGCAGTTCTATTACAAATTAAATTTCTTATATAAGATAATAAAATATTATTAAAAACATTTATTAGGTGTAGGAGAAATTTAAAAAATCAATATGGTGCACTCTTATCATCAGTGGGTAAACACAATAACTCAAGCATTGGTAAGGTTTATTATTATTACAGCTGGTTGTTATGCTTCACACTTGGGCTTGATTTGTCCTCTGGGGGATGAGGAGATGCTTCCCCAGAGGTTCAGGGCAGAAGGTGCCGTCTCTGTACACCAGCCGACCCCTCAGGATGGTTGCGCACACGGCTCCATGCAGGCTGAGGCCAAGGTAAGGAGTCAGCTGCAAATACACAATCTCAAAGTCAGTCAAACAAACATCTGTGCTCGATTCACTTAATGAATCTACCTATAGAATACCTTTATTTACCTTGTTTTTATGCTGGATGTGTCCTTCTTGAATCTGTAAATTATAGCAAAGTGAAACAGTTGATTGAAGGTTTGATCAGAGTTTTTTGACTTGTCACAGAAAAGAATTAACAATGAGGAGGTCCTGCTTGTGGTTCAGTGTCATGGCTTACTGACCCACTTAATGGATTTAATGCACGTAATCCTATGAAAATAGCTCTGTCGTTGATAGTATGGATTACTTATACGAACCTCAAATTCTCTCTCTGGGTCCCAAATGACCAAGTCGGCATCGTAGCCGGGGGCGAGGCTGCCCTTCTGGTTGTCGAGACCACAGAGCTGAGCTGTTTTTCTGCTGAGGAGCCTCACAACATCAGACAGCTGAAAGCCTCTTTTGCTGGCTGAGCTCCAGAACAGAGGCAAGCCTGAAAAATGATGGGAATATTAAAGAAACTCACAGACAACTGAGCTGACAACCATCACATTTGAAAAGCTTTGCAGAGATTTTTCACTCCTGCATTCAATAATCCTTGCATGAGTGCAATTCTGTGACATTAAGACAGTCGGTGTCAGACTTTGACCACTCTCACTGTGGTACAAACAGTAAATGATTGCTTTAAAACCCAGTTCTTGTTTACCTTCCTGTGAACTTTGCCCACTGTGGCTGAGTGTCAAGAGGGTTTTTTGTGGGGTGAAAGCTAATCCATGCATAAAGAAAATTAGCATTATCCCTGTAATATTCCCACAGATAAATTCTGATTTGTGAATTTCATCCAGCGTCTCCACCAGCTGAGCGGCACAGAGGATTAGTCATGTAGAGGCAAACCCTGCAGCTGCTCCGTGGACAGTGAATGATGTGAAAACTGTCATTGCACTGTGACAGCAGCTCTGGAGATTGGTACACAATCTGACTCACAGCTCAAAGCCTTTTACAGTCAGAAATTAAAACACTCATTTGAATGTAAATTCAGAAACAAAACGTCTATCAGTGATATAGTATGCAAGTGTCACCGGAAATCATCAGGCCACTGCGTTTGTCAGCCTCTTCCCAGTAGAATGAACATTTCTAGGATGAATTTTTGGTCATTTTCTCCCTTCTGTTTAATAGAAACAGTGGAGAGTGACAGGAAATGTGGTTGAATGACGTGTTTGAACCCACGTGGTGTTTGTCTAAAGCTCTTGGCTGTTGCAGAGCCAGTGATACATCAAACAATGTTAAGACAGAGCATGATTATATCACATCAAACATATGCTACAGCAGTTAAAAATAGCATAAAAATGTTCAAGTCATTTTGGCCTTTTCCAATGCAGATATTTTTTTCATGTAATTGCAGAGAAGTTATTAGGCTTACTCACAACATTAAGGTCCACTGGCAGGAATAGAAAAACAGTACAATACCTTTCGAGTTTTGCAAATTTACCAAATAGGAAAATCTTTTCAAGTTACAGCAAAAACATTCTATATTTATGTTACATTTTCATACAAAACTGCAAACTTTTAGCCTAATGGGTGTCATCTGTATGTCAGTGATTATTTTGGGTCGATGCCAGTATTTAATTTTAAATCCTTTATCAGTAAATGTACCAATATCATCATGCATCACTAATATATTGTACAGTATGTTCTTGGTAGATAAATGTGATTTAGGTGTGCCAATTAGTTTGCATCATTAATTTTATTAGCTGTTGCTCTGTGGATTCTGCAACCACAGCTTGTCAACAGTGACTCTTCAAAGTAGCAACATGCAAAATGTAGCTTTTTAATTAAGTGGATCTGATGGATGGCCGCGGAAAAAGCTGTAAAAGCAACACTGACACGTTATTGCCTCACTGAGTCAATATGACGAACACTTTGGCAAACATTTGCTCCATCCAGCAGACAGTGACCAACATTAGCATTCATCTCGCTTCATGTTTCTGGCCACCTGCAAGTCTAAGTCCAATATTGACTCTTCTTTTAGCTCCGGTGTGAGTTACACCAGTCTTTCTCGTTCTCAGGACTAAATGTTCTGCTGTGTTCACCAGCTAGTTGGTGCTGAGCAGGTGTTGGACAGTGAGTCTGCTGCAATGAAAAAAAAATGAGGTCGAGCATTAAGAGTGAGCTTAAACCGTAAAGTTTCTGCCTGTAACAACAAAGCAATGAGCTGAAATGCTTTGAAGAGCTGAAAGAAACTGCACAACGTCACGTTATGCATTGTTATCTATTGTTAATGTGAAAACTTGAATCTGACTTGACATGTTGGGTGTGGTGACATTTTGGCACAGCTTTGTTTACAGTTCTGCATTCTTTCCATCAGTTTGTACATTGCTGTCAGTCGCTTTGCATCTCTTGTACTCTGCTGCTTGTGTTTAAACTTTCTATAACATGAAATGAACACAGCATTGTGGAAACACTTCAAATCAGTGGCGACAATGCATTGTGGGACATTTTGGGGAGCTTGAGGGTTAGTATAATGAATGATTTTTGCATTTGGATATCCTTGATAATGGCTGATTGCCTGAGCTGTTCACAACATGGGAAGGCTGTACAGTACTTAGTAAAGTATATTGAATTAGACTCCATGAATAATCGATTAGTTGTTCCGCTATTAGATTAAACTGCAACTATTTGCTAATTAATCAGTCTGTTTGAGTAACTGTTAAGAAGAAAAACAGTCTAAATTTGCTGATTCCAGTTATTTAAATTTGAATGATTTTCTGGTTACTTTTCTCCTTTTTTGACAGTGATCTGAATATGTTTGGGTTTTGGATAAAGCAAGACATTTAGGGATGCCATCTTGTGTGTTAGGAAAGACTTTTTAACATTTTTTCTTGTTTCATGGGCCAAACAACTAATCGATTATTAATATGAAGAAAATACTCCACAAATTAATCAGAATTTAAAAAAAAAAAAAAGTTATTTGCAGCACTAATTTGAATATGACATTCCAAAATCAATTGGGTGTAATATCACAGAGAAGATAAGAAATATTCAACATGTGTGTTTGTCATGAATAAATACCAAATTGTAAAGAAGAAATCCCTCCCCAAGCCTGAGTGAAGTCTCCACTGTCCAATTTCTTCAGATCGGGGGTGCAGGGGGAGTGATCAGACACCACCATGTCGATCTGTCCGGCTTTCAGTGCCGACCACAACTGCTGCTGGTGGGGCAGAATCAACCAGCGAGTAAACACAATAAATATAGTGAGTGTTTTATGTTGACTCAAAATATTCAGCATTGCGTCTTCTGTACATTATGTTCTGTTTACCCGGTTTATAGATCCCCTGATGGGGGGGCAGCACTTGAACTGTGTGGCCCCTGCTGGTATGTTTTCTGCACACAGGCTGAGGTAATGGTGGGTTGTCTCCACCGTCAGGGGCGCTCCGGCCCGCCGCGCTTCCTGGATCAGTTTCAATGGCTTTGCAGAGGATAAGTGAACTATGTGGCACCGCACCCTGATGCAGAGAGAGGTAATTGATACAAACTCAAATCTTTCACAGACATAGGATATTTTAGTCATTAACTAAATGGCTGATGTTCTCACCGGTACTGCAGGCAGAGTTCTGTGACGATGCGAATAGCTTCTGTCTCCATTATATCTGGCCTGGACTGCAAAAAGGTGGAGTACTGGGAAGGGTCTGATATAGGGAGAGGTGTGAGAAATATCAGTATTAGCAGTAGAATTCATTAAAAAAAAAAAATCTCCTTTCTCAGAGTTTTATGGCATTTATACAAGATCAAGACTATACATCAGTATAATACCAATACCTTGATTTTGGATATTGTATGAGCGGATACTTAAATGCTGATGTTTATTCATCCCAAAAGTTAAGTGAAAACACTCCAAACAATCTCAGTCTTTGCAAATCTGTAGGTTTTTTTTTTTTTTTTTAATCTTAATGAAAAACAAAAACAAAGGGAGAAAAACAACAACAACAAAACACTGGCACAAGCGTTAACCTTCCTCTTTTTCCTGGTGATAGTCTTCCAAAAGTTAGTAAGAAGTGTTTCAAAAATAGTTAAAACTAGATGCCGCTTTGGTGTAAGTACAAATATGTCATTATGATTTATGTGAGACAATACTAAGGGCCTCACTGGACTTCCTTTTTGGTTCTTGAAGACATTTTATCCAAGAGGATTCCTCAGTTTTAACTGATAGGCATGGAATCCAAGGTATTTATTCTCAGCCTGATATCAGATGGCTCAAAGTACATTGATACATACAATAGGACATTAACGACCCACGATTCAGGGTGTGAACGGTTGTGAAACTTCCTGTGGAGGGACTCAGGACTGCATTACCAGTACCTGATAGGTAGTGTTGTAGACGCACTCCTCTGTGTGGAGATGGCTGTTCCAGTTCAACATAGATGACTTCCTTCACTTCTCGCTAAAACCATCAGTCAGCTCTGTCCAATGTACAAATTAAGGAATCCATTTGTGTTAAACTGCAACAGCCATCTCTTAGCAGAGGAGCGGGTGTACAACATCACTTATCATGTACCTTTAATGCAGTCCTGAGAGCTCTCCCTGGGAAGTTTTACAACCATTCAAACCCTGTATTGTGAGTTTTGGGTGGCTAATGGGCCATTAGACATGTGATTTTGGGGTGAGAATAAATAAGTCTCCCTTCCTGTCAGTTAGAAATGAAGAAGCCTCTAGGATGAGAGGTAAGATATCTTCAAGAACCAAAAAAAAAAGTCTGCTTGCCTTCTACGGAAACACTTTGTATTACCATGACCTGAAAGACTGACTGGTGACATTATTTAAATAAAAAAATAAATGAAAACTTGAAATTGAAATTGAAATTAAAAATCTCTGTATTTCAAGACAGTTGAAATGTTCAGCATCACAATATTGAGATACTGGGTTAAAAACCAACAACGCAATATTAGATTTTTTAAAAGTTTTTCACAGCCCTAAACATAATACTTATTTTAAAGCAACATATTAATAGTAATTATTGTTACCACCGGCCTCCTCTGTTGGTTTCTGAACTTCCCTCTCTGCATGAAACTGGAGGAGACAAGGCAAAATGTATTTCAGTTACAATGTTGAGCTTGCAGGTATAATAATCAGCAGAAATCACATTTATTGTTATGGAACATGGTGCATTTTGTAAATTACCAGCAGGACACTTCCTGTGCCTTGCAGCTGCTTCATGGCTGTGTGCAGATCATAGTCGAGCACGTGGGGGAACTCGTCCACCCCACTGTGGATGAGGAAACACTTGAAGCCAGCAACTCCGGCCTGGATCATGGGCTGAAGCTCAAGCTGTAAGGAGACATTCATCTTTTCCTGTTAATTCAGTAAAAAGTGACTGTAATAGTGTTTATTTAGTTTGAACTGGTCCACTGTACCTGGTTGCCAGGGATCACTCCTCCCCAGAAGGCCGTGTCAACAAAACACTGCCCCGTCGCCTCCCGCAACTTCTCATGAAAATTGCCAAGTGTTGTCGTTGGAGGAATGCTATTTCTTTAGTGATTTAATCAAAAAAGCAACAAAAATCAAGACAAAAAAATTAAAATGTGTCCAGCAGTAGCTCTCAAGTTTCCAAAATATATTGATCTACAACCTAAAGAAGCATTTTAAATTAAAGAAAGTCTGAACTATTAGTCACAAGCTAAGATAGTTTTAGCCTGAAGATGCTTTAGGAAAACAGAATTTCAGATTTGTCCAATTCTTCTGGATTGGCAGCAGAAAAAAAAGTCTTTTCTTGGAAGCAATTAGGCAGTCATTTTGTTTTACTTACTTTTACTGTATAACAGAACAAAATTCAGCAGTCGATTTGATCCAAGATGTAAACCTTTTATGTAGCATTGTCAGACAAAAACTAGCTAAAACCTAAAAGTAGAGCAGCAACAAAAGCTGCAGACACACAGTAGCTTAATGGAAACGGAGTTGGATTTACGAAACTTTATACATTTATTTATACACAAATAGTATATTACAGTAACATATTATTTTAACATAGAAAAAAATGAATTTTGGGTCATCTACTTCTGACTAAGAAATGAAGAACTTACAGAAATAATTTAAAACACGAGATAGTTCAAGGGGGAAAAAAACAATCATCAAAGAAAACCTGTTAGAAGTCTGTTTGTTTCCTACTTTTGCATATGCTACTTTTACCCAATAAGGCATTTTTAAAAAATGGCTGATAACAGTTTTATAACACAAAATCACTGACTGAAGATGTACCCTAATGTGACACATTTAATTTAATTTAATTTTATGTCTTATTTTGGTTTTGTTGTGTCTCTTTTATGTCACATTTGGCATATCATGTGTCATATTTTGGTCATTTGCTTTTAGCTTTGGCTGTTTTGTGTCACATTTTTGTCATTTTGCTTATCTTCATGGTCATTTTATGTCTGCTTTAGAGCATTTAGGCAATTTTCTGTTTAATTTAAGTTCTTTTGCATCTCTTTTTGACACATTCGGGGCATTTAGTGACACATTTTGGTCCTTTTCTGTCACATTCAGGGCTCATTTTGGTAGTTTTCACCACTTTGATGCCATTTTGTGTGTTTGTGGTCATTTTTTGTCCCATTTTGGTAATTTGCATTTAGTTTGGGTTACTTCATATCAGGTTTTGGTCATTTTACTTTTTTTGTAGTCGTTATGTGTGTCTTTGAGGTCTTTTTGTGGCCCATTTGGATTATTTCATGTCTTTTTTAGACTATTTTGCATCTCGTTTGTGTCACAGTGTGGGCACATGCATTTAGATTTGGATGTTTTATGTTTCATTTTGGTCATTTTGCATTTCTCTGTAGAGATTCTCTCTTTGTGATCATTTTTTCTCTTCACTGTTGATTTAAGTCTCATTTAGGATGTTTTACATCTCTGTTATGTAAATTTGTCTCTTTAAGTCTCATCTTGTTGCATCTCTTTGTTCTCATTTTTATGTCTCATTTGGGTCATTTGCATCTCTTTGTAGCCATTCTTTGTCTCTTTAAGGTCATTTTGTGTCACATTTGGCTTCATATTTGATTTATTTCTGATAAATAAATTAGGTTATTTTATTTATTTAGCTTTATTTACAGTGGAGTCTTTCATTTATCAAACTAAACCATAAATCTAACTCTCAGATCCATCTAATGTTTGTCTGAGGAGGAACTTTTGTTTACATTTATTTCATAATGTGCAGACTTTGATTAGTGACCCTATGAGGACAGACAGTAGGCAATGATTGATTTCTGGATGGGTAACTTACAGCGGCATGTCCACAATGGTTGTCACCCCTCCAGCCGCAGCAGCCCTGGTTGCGGTCCAGAAACCCTCCCAGGAGGTCCGACCCGGCTCATTCACATGGACATGGCAGTCTACAATCCCTGGCATCACCACACTGTCACCCACATCCAACACCTGCAATCACATGGGGTTTCAGGATAACACTATCAATGAAAGTACAGTAGGAGTGATGAAAATGCATTGGCCTTTACAACCTTACACACATACATCAATTTGCCTTCCACCAGGGGGAGTATCCTGAAACTCAGAGCAGTGAGAGCCAGCTTACCTCAGAGCCAGCAACCTCAGAAAACCGACCATTTGACAGTATTTGATGTATTTTCCCATCTTTTATTACTACGACAGCAGGACGGAGTTCATCACCAATCAGTACCCTCTTACTTCTAACAGCACTAACCGCTGATCCGAGCTCCATGTCTGTTTTTATTGACTGTTAGTGAGTGCAGCAGACTCTCTTCACTCTGCCTCTACACGCCTGATATAATCTTGGCAGTTCAGTGGCCTCAAACTGAAGCACCACCCCCGAATGAACGGGTCAAAGGATAAGCATTTGTTGACTTTTTTTTTGGCTTTGTGACATGCTGGATTTCAGATTCAGTCATGCACAGCAGTTTGAAGCGTCAGGAGCATTAAATGAGACTGAGAAATGTGGTAGCGTGACTTGCAGTGAGCAGAAAAGCTTTAGGAGTTGTGATGTGAACAGAAACAGCAGTAATAGCAAACTGCATGGAAGTAGCTTTAATTTTTATTTGTTCTGCTGTATATTAGGCGATAACATGAATCAACAACATCCGTCAACAGCAGTCAAACCTGATGCAAATTGAATATGTATGCCGCCGTCTTTGATACCACTCTAGGAATCCACTTCGTAATCAGAACTGGTTTAGAATCAGTGCATATATGGAAGTGGTACACATTGTGGATGGAAACAATTACCCAACATACATACATATGCTGTCCCACAGTTCAAGGGTTGCAGAGAGAGATTGCATTTCAAGAATAAATACAGACTAACAGACTATAAAACACATAATGGCTGGATAAATATGGATAAAAAGTAAAAGACGGGTTCTCAGGACTGGAACGTAACTCAGAACATTTACTCAAGCACTTTAATTAAGTACAGTTTTAAGGCATTTGTACTTTACTTATATACTTCCATTTATCTGACAGCTTTAGTTACTCCTAAAAACAAGATTTTTCACAATGGATAAAATAACGTTGTTTTACAAATACAATATTACTCCTTGTTATCTGACCTTTTACCCTACAAACACCAACATGTAGATGTCTCTGAGGTGTGAACAGCTCCAGCAAATACAGTTTTTTCCCTCTAAACTTCCTCACACGGTTTCATTTCCTTGCAAAGATCCATTTTCTCAACAAAAACCAAAGGTTAGAAAGAAACTGAAAACACATTTCTGTATCAGAACTTTGTTTTTCTTCTCTCATTAATCATGTGATGAGCCCTCAGATGTATCTGCTGTTTGTGCTCTATTTTCAAATATTGTTTAGTTGTCTGTTCTTGTTGCTTTGGTGGCTGCATAGTGTTTTTCATGCTGGGCGGGGTTTTGGACGGGAGAGGACTTAGTCACTCTCTCCCACACCTGAGGGTCCTTACTAATCATAATGGATAAAGCCTGCCTTCACCTGTGGTCCACCGCCACTTGATTGACTCTCACACAAGTGAACCTCCCAGTTGGACCTACGTATTCCCTCGCCCAGCCTCTGCAGCCAAGTCTCTGTTATAATAAAAAAAATCTAGGTTGTTAAAAGAAATAAAATCATGACATAAAAAGGACTTGTTGTTAAGGGAGTGGATATTTAAAAGACCAAAAGTAACAGGGGTGTGGCAGGGGGAGGGAAGGGATTTATGCAGCAGTGGACTTGAATAAGGTTGTTGTGATTAGCACCAGAGGGTTGAAAGGATATGCAAACTGAAGGGGGTTGGTTGTGAAGGCTCACGGTGGCTACTGGAGGAGGCAAGGACGGAAGTGGACGGTAGGGAGCGATGATATGGGAAGCAGTGACCTGGAGAACTGGCTCTGAGGGTGGCGAAGAAGAGGGAGGGACCGTAGAGTGGGTGTGACAGATAAACAGTCATTCACGTGGGGTGCACTGGACCACGTGCTGAATGTTAGCATGCGGCCATCGCGACTGTAGAGGCTGGAGCGGTTCCAAAACAGGTTAAAATTGTCTGGAGCCAGGTGTTAAGACTGAGGATTCGGCTAAAACGCCCCACTCCCTGTGACAATGTTGGGAGGGGGCCACTGATAAAAACAGATGTTCCACAGTCTTTTAAAAAGCTAAAAAGGTTGATAAAATCCTTTTTAGTGAGCTCTGACTGCTGGCGGGCAGTGTCGTTGGACCCTACATGGACCACCAGTCTGATGATGGAGGAGGGGAGTCAGCTCGGCAGGCCAGGGAGCTCAGCGAGGATCCACTGAACTGTGGCTCCGGGGAAGCAGTAAGTCGTGGCATTGAAGAAGAGAAGCGGATACCCTAAATGAGTGAGTCCACCACTATTGCCGTGGTTGGAGAGAAGAGAGGGTGTGGAAGAGGCCGGGCGGGCGGGCTCATGGTTGGGGGGCACAAGGATCCCATTGACCACACCGTGAGCCTGTGCGGATTGGAGAGATGGTGGATGGAGAGCATCAGACCTGGAGGAGCGATCCACCACCGGATCTGGGCGACAACCACCACCACCACCAGAGTGCCGGGTCACAGCGTCCCTCAGGATCCTGCACTGGGCAGACGAGGTGGCAGAACGGGATGGGGATCATTGAGGCTCCGTGGATGAGTGTCCGGCAACTCCAGGGCAGCTAGCCTCCAACGGGGGGAAGGCTGTGGTGTCTACAGGCGTCGACTTCAGGTCCAGAGCAGGGCTAGGTGAAGCCGGCGGAGCAGGCATGCTGGCCGGGTGGACCGGAGCATCATCCGCTGACAGAGCCCCGAAGTGGTTGGAGAGACTCGGGCGATGGGGAGAGACAGTTTCACCCAAAGTCCTTCTGCGACCACGGACCACCACATCGACCCAGGGCGAGTCCCAGCTGGGTGTGGAGCAGGAGGGCTGTGGACAGGTGGAGGGGTCCCAGAACGCTGTCTCCTGGAGAGTCATGTTGAGCGAAGCTAACTTTGAGGACAGCTTGGCTGCCACGTCCATGAAGCTGGAGAGCAGGAAGTCCTTCTTCTGGAGCTCATCAGATAGTCGTCGGATGTCCTCTTTAAGGTCGGAGATCTTTTTGTTGGCTCTTTTGAGTAGAATATAGTCTTCTGATGGAACAGCAGGCATAGCTGTACCTTTCAGGTCGGATAGCTGCAGTGCTAAAAACAGTGAGCGTGGTGGTGGGTTGGCCGGGTGTCCCGCTCAGGGAGCATAAAGAGCGATCAAAAGGTTCCAGCAGTTTCGATGATTAAAAGAAAAGCCACGATAAAAGAACCGGGGTAAAAGAGTAGAACACTGAGATTAAAAAAGAGTGTTGCCTGAAAAGAAAGGGATTTAAAGAGAATCTTAATACCTGCGTAGCGATTGAGCGGGGGATTGTTGCTGCCGTAAACTGTTGCTGCCATAAACTGCTGACCTGCTTACAGAGATTGCACCCGTGTGCGTTCTTCTCCCGCCAGTTGACCCCCACAGAGAAAAACTATGATGTGGGGTACTGTGAACTATTGACTGTGGTGCTGGCCCTTCAGGAGGGCGTCATTGGCTGGAAGGGGGGGAGAAACCCTTCATGATGTGGACTGACCACAAGAACCTGGCATACTTACGGTTTCCACACTAACTGAACCCACGAAAGGCAAGGTGGGCGCTGTTCTTCAATTATTCCCTCTCCTATCGCCCTGGGTCCAAGAACGGCAAGCCAGATTCCCTCTCCCGTATCCATTCGCATCCATCCAGCCCTCCTGGTGCAGAACCAATCATCCCGGCTTCGTGTGTGGTAGGAGCAGCCACATGGGAGATCGAGGTGGTGTTCAGGGATGCACAGAAGGAGGTACCGGATTCAGGCAATGGACCTCCCAAATGCCTGTTCGTGCCTCCTGTTGCCCGCTCCCCGGTTCTGCAATGGGGCATTCATCCAATCTAATGTGTCATCCGGGAGTGCACTAGATCCTTACCTTCCTCCAGCAATGTTTTTGGTGACCTGGAATGATGATAGAGGTTCGAGAGTACGTAGCAGCCTGCTCCGTCTGTGCCAGGGGTGAATCCTCCCATCAACCCCTGGCCCCCTGCCTGTGCCCAGACGACCCTGGTCACACATTGCCATGGACTTTGTTACCAGATTACCTCCCTCAGAAGGTAACACTGTAATTCCGAAGGCGGTCCACTATGTACCGCTGCATAAACTACCTACTGCTCTACAGACCACTAAGTTAATGACTGACCATGTGTTTAGACTTCATGGTATCCCTATAGACATCGTTTGTGACCAGGGGCCGCAGTTTGCCTTCCAGGTTTGGACTGCGTTCTGTAACATGGTGGGCACAGCAGCCAGCCTGTCATCAGGATATCACCCACAGACTAATGGCCAGATGGAGCGGGCCAATCTGAATCTGGAGACAGCACTTCGTTGTGTGACAGCACAACACCCCTCTTCCTGGAACACCTGTCTGACCTGGGTCGAATATGCTCATCATTTTCTCATCAGTTGTGCCACAGGTATGTCCGGTACGTTTATGGCTGCTAACGGATTTCAGCCCCCTCTGTTTCCTGAGCAGGAGGACGAAATGGCAGTTCCGTCCGTGGCTGAACATATCTGCAGGATTAAGGAGGCGCGGCGGAATGTCAGGCCTGCTCTGAACCGTTCTGTGGAGGCCAACAAGCGACTGGCGGATCGGCACAGGTCCCCTGCTCATGAGTACAAGGTGGGACAGATGGTGTGGCTGTCATCGCAGGACCTCCCTCTTCAAGTGGAGTTGGGGAAACTCGCTCCCTGGTATGTGGGTCCTTTCCCTATCACCAAGATTATTAACCCGTCTTCTGTCTGTTTAAGCCTGCCAGCATCCATGAAGATTCACATGACGTTTCATGTCTCCTTCCTGAAACCGGTGGCGAAGAGTGAGTTGAGCCCTCCGGCCATTCATCCTCTTCCGCCCAGGCTTATTGGCGAGCAACCGGCCTTCACGGTGTCCCAGATTCTGGACGTCAGACCCAGAGGACACGGATTCCAGTTCTTGGTCGATTGGGAGGGGTACGGCCCGAAAGCGAGGTCCTGGATCTCTCGCAAGCTTATCTTAGACCCGACCCTTATTACGGACTTCTATGCTGTGCACCCAGACAAGCCTGGTCAGACACCGGAAGACGTCTGTTGAAGCGGTACTGTGGTGAGCCGAGGTTTGCGCTCTTATTTTGAAGTAGTGTTTAGTTGTCTGTTTCTGTTGCTTTGGTGGCTGCTTTGTGTTTTTCAGGCTGGGTGGGGTTTTGGACAGGAGAGGACTCACTCATTCTCTCCCACACCTGAGGGTCCTTACTAATCAGCGCTGGATAAAGCCTGCCTCTACCTGTGCTCCAGCACCAGTTGATTGACTCTCGCATGAGTGAACCTCCCTGTTGGACTTATGTATTCCCCAGCCCAGCCTCTGCAGCCGAGCACCCAGCCACAGCCGTTCAGCCTCCCTGTCACGTTTGGGACCTCCCTCCCTCACTCGGCTTCCCTCTCGTGCTTCCCGGTGTCACCTGTTCCCTGTTGCCTGAATAAATCCCGCTTTTCTAATCACCTAAACCTCTGTTGCTTCTTGGATCCATTGTCTGTGTCACCGTTTAACCAACCCTAACATACACGACATTGTGAGGCAGGGTGCAACGATGGAATCCCGACCCACATACTGAGTACATGCAGTTTGTATCATTAGTGAGGCAATTGCTGAGCCTTCTAAAAATATGATATTACAGGTATATGTGAACAAGTTAGATCTGCTGAGTTTGTGGGTCACTAAGCAAAGTCTTTCATGATAGCTTGCAGGCAGCCTAACTATTGAGGTACAGAGCAGCAGAGCGGTATGCAGCCACAATGAACGATCTTGTGCGCCTGTGCTCAGGACACAGAAATCCTGATTATCAGATACTTTTCAGTTTTAGATCTCTCACGGTAGAAGTGTAGTAAAAGTCATGTGTGAAAAGACAGCCAGTGGTGAAGGCGCTTGACTCGAATACATAGACTTTTCAACTACGAATATCTCTGTACCCATTGATAACTCTTTTTACATATTGTCAGCTCTTGTTCCATGTCCTAATTTTAATACAGATGAGCAGATTTTTTACACATTTGAAAACCTGATTACAAACAAGACAAATTGTGAGACGACTTTTGCAGATTCCGGTTCACACTGACAACTTCTTTTACATATTGACAAATCTCACTTCGGACGAACGGATTGAGATACAGACAGACAACTCTCCATACGCATGGACAAATAGTTTTGCTACAATAATGCCCCCATACATGTATAATTAAAAATAAAAACGCTGACACTACATTTTGAAAAGCATATTGGGTATTACGCGTTTAATTCTGCTCCTATCTGTGCCTGATAATATTTCTGACAAGTGATTAAAAGCTTAGATCCGACATGTGAACACATCAGACAGATGAGCCGTGATATCCAGATCTTTGTTGAACGTGACTGCGGGCTCTCAGTGCGTTCATTGGCTGCCTGCTGAAGGAGGAGGAGGCCGAGCTGAGAGCCTGAGCCTGCGGAGGGAGTGTGAGGGGATGCAGGCTGACAGGATTCAGCTTCGCCTCATCGGGCCTCATCCCTCCATCCTCCCCGGCGATGCGCTGTGCGTTATGACGCCAGGCCGTTTGACGAGCGCATTACGTGGGACTGGCAGAGCAGCACAGCAGCCTCTTATGTAATGCATCGGATGCAGCTGCACGGATCGTCAGAAGAGGGGAAGAAGAAGAAAAAACAACTATCGGATGGCTGATTTTAGTGAGAAATAACAGTGAGCTGGCTTATTACTGAGGCAGAGTACAATGATAATGGTGAATCGTGCAGCGCAGTAGAGCCCGTCTGGGCATCGGTGGCCTATCCCTGAGGCGCACAGACGTCTGGAGCCTGCTGAAGCTGCCGCACGCCTTATTTTTTCCGGGATTTTAATTGAAATTGTCTTTATTTTTTTTATTTATTTATTTTTAAATAAACCAATGCGGGTTGGTTTCAGAGACGAACCAGGATCATTTTGTCTTCTTCACTGCACTGGTTTCATCCAGCAGCCTCCGAGCTGCGGTATAAACAATGGCGGGTCCCGAGCAGTCCCAGCAGCAGCAGCAGGTAGAGGAGAAGGCAGAGCACATAGATGATGCCGAGATGGCATTGCAAGGCATCAACATGCTGCTCAACAACGGATTCAAGGAAAGCGACGAGCTCTTCAGGAGATACAGGTGATTATCGGCTCCTTTACGCACCAACTGGTCACGCCGCATGACTAATCCTACAATATGAGAGAAAAGTGGCTAAAATATTCAAGTGAAATTTAGAGTACAGCATGTTCTCCCCTACACAAGGATTGCACAGGTGAATCCACACGTATCAATTTATAAGCAAATGCTCTGACAGTTTCAAATGCATTTTGGAGCCTGTTTGTCGGTGAGAGAGGGTTTATGTCCCCACTGAGTCTGATTCACCTGAGATTTCCTGCAGCTTCCCACTGAACACCTCTAACACAGAGGTCATGGCACTCGAGGAAAAAAATGGAAAGAATAACTCACTGTTATCCTTTTTGATAATCGTTTAAATAATGTCTCAAGCAAAAATAGTCAAACTCTTAAATATTCTCTGTCTGCAGCCTCTAAAATGAGAATAAAGGCTGATTTTCTCATGTGGTCTGTCAGTGCAGATTGTACAGGGTTTTGATGTGTTTGTCAAGTTAAACAAGATACTTTAAAACCCCTCAGCAAGTTGTGACACTTGGTGACATTTTTTATGAATAATCAGTCAATCAGAAAAATAATCTGATGATCTCTAATGACAATACTCATTTGTTGCAGCCTCTGTTAAGTCTATGCACTTGGACACTTGCATTTTTCTTTGCTGCATGTCAGCCAAATAGACCTTGACACCAGTCATGACAGCTTAATAAGAAACCGTCTTCTGAGCATGCTCCGTTTGTGCAAAAGTTACTATGTGCAGCTCCATTCAGATTATTTCCTCTTTGCATTTGTGGATGCTGAGATAAAGTGGTGCCCACAACTGCAGGAAAAGATGATTAAGATTTAGTTGTAATTGCAATTTTCAACAAAATCCTTAACTTGTCTGTATCTTGTTTTGTTCTGTGGTCCTGATTCTTGCTTTTTCTTCATCTCTCTCTGCAGGACTCAGAGCCCACTGATGAGCTTTGGGGCCAGTTTCGTCAGCTTCCTGGTGAGTTTCGTCTCCCCTGCTGATAGAGCTGCACCTGCCAATCGATCGATAGTCTAGTTATCAATTATTACAATCATCTTCAGCTTTTCTGATAATTGATGAATCGGTTTTTGTAGTTTTTGTAGACAAAAAGTCAGAATTCTCTGATTCCAGCTTCATGAATGTGAGCATTTTCTGGCTTCTGTCCTCCTCTATAACTATAAACTGAATATTTTTTGGGTTATGGAAAAAACAAGACATTTAAGGATTAGGCTTTGGGCAACACTGATTGATACATTTCACCATTTTCTGAAATTGTACAGATCAAATGACTAATTGAGAAAATAATAAACCGATTCCCTGACTGTGGAAATAATCATTAATCCCAGTTGCTAATCAAGGAAAATAGCAGAAGATGCAGTAATGCCATGTATTAAATACATACTGTATTTTGTAGGTTTATTTAGAAGGAACAATGCACAATAACCCACTGACCCCTGCCACATTTTTATTCCCTGTGGGCTCATTTTTCTCTGCAACGTAAAGTCCTGCACATCTGTGGAAACAACACAACCATGGTTGGAAGTAGAGAGAATTCAAACGTGAAATCTGTGTAGTATAACAAACTTATGTAGCCATAAATCATAACAAGTAATCAACTAAAGTTGATTTATTTTGTAGTATTTGAGAAAAAGCTGGACTCAACATGTACAATATTTTGCCTAGTGCCCACCGGTGTTTACATTGCTGATTAAAAAGTGGCTCTACATGCTATAGATATTTTACCATTTACATTTTTAATATGATTCCATATTCGTCTCCTATCTGTTCCCTGTAAAGCCTCTAGTTCAGCTGAAAACTCCTTCAATTGTTGCCAGCTGAATTACTATTGCTTTTCAGTTGACTCAAGGTTTGCAGATGTTTTTATTATTTTTTTTTTTTTTGCAGAATCTAGTTCAAACAGAGGCTTTATTTTTTGGTGAATTTCCAAATAAGACATGTAGAATAAGAGGATTTTAATGAAATACCATGATTTTAGGCTTAGATTTTAATAAGTTTCCTGACTGAACTACATGTCACACGTAATTAGTTGAAGAACTGTCAGCAATTTTTAGATCCTATAAGTTTATCTGTTTTTAGACTTTCTGGCTCTGATAAATGGTGTAACTTTGGCAATTTTTTAAAAGATAACACGCCTTTTCAGCCTTCTGGTTAGTTTGATGGTTCAGAGGGTTAGTAAATCTGGCTGTAAATGTGCCAGAGGTGGCCAGGAGGCTATTTTTCATCTGTAGTTGCAGGATACAGGAGCAGAATTAGATTCAAGCCCACATCGTCACAATTCATAAAGAAAGCACACAGATATTGAGACCTCAGATAACCTAATCTGTCAAAGTGTTCACATCGTTGTCACCACCAACATCCTCTCCTTGGCTTTGCTTTTAAATCCATTAACATAATGGATGCATCTTCCTCTGAAGAACAGCAATACTCCTGCAGAGGCGCACATTACTGTCCATCAATGATGGGAGAGAGAGATTTTTCACAGCGTGGCGGACACACACACACACACACTAACAAACAAACACATACTCTGTCACTCCCCATTGTGTCGACACTCGTGCAGCATGAAGCCAGAGATGATGTCATTCTCCATCCCCAGATAATAAATGGTCCTGAAGGCAGTGGGGGCGGCGACATCTGACCATCATTTGTACACTGATGGCTACAGTTTCTCTCATTCGCTTCGGTGCATTTCTCAGATCAGAATATGTTCAGCCTCCACATCATCCAGTCACTTTTGCTCATCACGAATGAAATTCTTTTGAACAAATCGCAAATGTTTTGGCAGATTCGTGCGAATGCTTTTGTACAGCTGTCTATTCTTTCCTCCATCATCAGTTACTTATATCAGTCTGGTGCTCAGTGGTGGAAAGTACATTTCCTCAAGTAGTGTACTTATGTACAATTTTGAGGTACTTTACTTAATTATTTCCATGTTATGTTTCTTTATGTTTTCACTCCTCTACATTTCAGAGGGAACTATTGTTCTTTCTACTCCACTGCATTTATCTTACAATTTTATTTACTTTTAAGATGCAAATTTGGCAATATTATAATAGAGCAAGTTTTTAAATTACAGCACATAGTGACAGATTAAAACAATGGGGTCCAGCCTTTGTGGCTTCTTACACACAGCCATATGCAAACCAATGTTTCAGATGATTTTTGAACAGCTCCACCAAAATAGTGATTTTTCTCACATTTCAATAAATATTCCAATGATCCCATACCTCAGCTAAAACAGAACTGTGTTTCAGAGTTTTGTTTTTTCTTCCTTCCTCTCCCATTAATCGTGTTTGGAGCCCTTAGATTTATCTGCTGTCCCTGTATGTTTAACTGTAATAAAGAACCTAAAACCTGCAACAGCTCCTACAGTAACATGCTGCTGACACGCTGATGCTTCACTAATCAAACATGTCATATATAATAATATATCAGTCAGAGAGACCAAGAGAAACCAAGATTTTTACTTTAATACTTGAATTACATTTTGCAGCTGTACTTTTACCTAGGCAGGCTTTTCTCATGCAGGACCTTTACCTGCAATGGAGTAACATTACATTGCTGTATTAATACTTTAACTTAAGTAAAGAATCTGAATACTTTTTCCACCACAAGTCTCTTTTTTGAATAGACTTACCCCCCAAGACATCTGGCCTTTAATTCATTATATAAGTAATTACATGCAAATTGATTGAGCCAGTTATTATAATCTGTTAAGCATCTTTTCTATAAATTTTCATTAGACTGTTGATGCAAAGACGTTCTGACATGATCATGTCATTACAATGCAGAAAACAAAAAGACAAGACTGTTTTAATGCTCTGCAAAAGAACAAATTAGGACTATAGAAATAGCCCTTAGACAGAACTGTACATGCAGTGCTATATGGTGAATTACAGTACACTCTTTATTCAACTCACGATGTTCTCATCTGTCGGGCCACTGATTCTCATCCACATCACAGCAGATATCTTCCCTCCACTGCACCACAGAAAGAATCTTTTGGTATGTCTCATCCAGCCTCTGCAGGCATCTGCTCTGATTTATTATTTTCTTTGTGCTATGCAGTACTGTAAAAGAGTATTTTCTTTTCTCCCCCCTATATCACAATGACATGTTCTGTCAACAGATTACAGTTGAGGCGTAAATGTGTCCAATCTCCTGCAGTCAGTCTCCTACATGCAGATAATGTGACTTTCTGTGGAAATTGATATACACCAAAAAGAGAAAATGCTGCCTTGTGCATTTTCAGTCATTGTCATGATAACCTGAGACACACATCTAGTATTCCTGCCTCTTTCTCCATCCTCCCCTCCATTGCTTGCTGCAGATTGTGCTCACCAGCTCACCTACAACTCTATTCAAATTCTGTAAAATTACCCTACAGTATTACCTTGTTGGAGTAATTCAGCCACAAATATTCAAACCAGAAACCGATTCTACACAGCAAGTTGGAAGGGTTGGTTCTTAGGTTTGTGCTGTACAAGAAACCCTGTAAGTCTTAATCAGTGTTTTTGAGACTGTCATTAATACACTGTTGTTTCAAGGTTGAATTGCTCGGTCTTGGTGTTGACTGTGTATTTCACTCATGATGTGCCCTCTAGCATATAAAAAAAATAAACCTATGGACATCCATCCATTATCTATACACGGCTTAATCCTCACTAGGGTCGCAGGGGGGCTGGAGCCTATCCCAGCCGACTTAGGGCGAAGGCAGGGGACACCCTGGACAGGTTGCCAGTCTGTCACAGGGCCACACTTAGAGACAGACATCCTATGGACATGTTAATGAAATAAAAAAAACTAAAATTTCAATTGGAGGGAGTATTAAAGAATACACTGTTATATTTACAACATTGTTAAGGCTTTTGATTATTCCATGTAAAGAAAAAAAAAAGCACACAAAAACATGTCAGTCCGATGTATAGATCGTATCTAGAAATTCTGTGAATGTACACGACTGCCTAGCATGGACATTGTTGCCCTTGTAGTGTCGTCATATCAATTTTGGGCTGCATGTGCACATCAGTGAAGTGGTCCACAAGTACTCTTAGGGAGATGATGAAATTTAAGCCTTGACTTTGCTCTGTTGCAGACGTGGACTGCTGCTGACACTATCATTCATAGTTTTTGCTGTTATACTGCTTCTCTAGTTCACAGAAGTCTATTTAGAGAATTTTGTCCCTTACATGTGCAGTATGTATCTCCCCAAGACCACAAGAATCCACATAGACCCCTCAGTAGACATGCAAACCCAAAATTTATGTCTAGGTGCTGCTAAGATACAAGGGCAGTAGTGTACATGTGTGGCATACTTACATATGACCTACTGTGCATGTATGGAATGGAGTCTTCCAATCAGACTCCAAGAGGGCTGGAAAAGTAGTTTAATAACAGCAGCTACATGTCCATGATGTCTGCAGGTAATCACAGGAGTCTGTCTGTGCATTGGCAAAGGAGTATAATCAAGCTCTTACTCTCCTTACGTGCCTTTGGCCTCTTTGATCCATCCTTGCAAACAGTGACATTAAGGTGGCATCTGTTATACACAGATAACAAATTATTGCTGACTGAAATGTTGTGCAAAGCAGCTTTACACAAGTGTGTTAGAGATTTGTAATCATGGAAGTAATTTCTTTCAGCTGTGAACACAGGATTTCTCTTTGTTTATCACAGTTAATCAAACAGAGGTTTGAGTCTTTCTGTGAGATCTGTGTTTTGAGAAAAGCTGTGAAAATGTGTGAAACAAATGAAATAGTAACACTTTTGCAAGAGAAAACTTGTGCTGTGATAAAAAGGTAAAGGATCCCAGTTGGATCCCAGTTTCATTTTGCCTGTCTTAGCAATTGATAAAAACTGTGTTGCATCTTTATTCATTTATTTTTCTCCTTCATTTATCTGGTTATTTTCTGCCTTGTTGAAACGGAACCAAGAATCTCTGTCAGCTAGGAAGCATCCTCTCACCCCCACACACAGCTGTACAGATGTCACTGTGTTCCTCCATTCACTGTGATGCAGAAAGAGGCCTTTCATCCGTGCCTGTTTTTTACGGCTATTACATAACACTCTGACACTTTTATAACAAGATTGTAAGTTGGCTCAAGCATAAATCTGCTCTGCAAACCCTGACAATTCAATACCAGAGTCTAAAACAAGATTTTTTTTGATTCCAATTGACTGAGACATATCATTAAACAAATGCTAACCAGTTGAATCTGCATTTCCCTGCAGAATGCCATGATGACATTCGAGGAGGAGAAGATGCAGACGGCCTGCGATGACCTGAGGACCACTGAGAAGCTGTGTGAGAGCGACAGCGCTGGAGTGATAGAGACAATCAGAAACAAGATTAAAAAGAGTGTAAGTGTGAAACTATGTGCAAAAACAGTCAAAGTGTATTGTGTGGGCTGTTGGAGGGCTAAATGGAGCAGAAAGTTGAGCGGAATTGAAATCGGGAGATGCTGATAACACCAATTTGCACATTTAGATGGATTCCATTGTTGCCGACATCTCCTGATATCACCGCCAGAACAGGCTGCAGTTCAGATAACAATGTCAAGATTCTTGGCATCGGACGTAATGATGCAGGCAGCAGTGAGATCATGCCGAAGCCACTCACAGATTCATTTAGTGCATTTGTGAAATTTAATCAGCAAACCCGGTGAGGGAGTATAGGGGGAGTGTAGCAGTTCTGGGTCATTCAGAAAACTCCTTCTGTCTCTGTCTGCCAACCATAAGGGAAACAAGCTGCAAGAGACGCACTGCTGACTGAACATGTGTGTTGATGTTACAGATGGACTCCCAGAGGTCCGGCGTTGTTGTCGTGGACCGACTGCAGAGACAGATCATTGTCGCTGACTGCCAAGTGTACCTCGCTGTGCTCTCCTTCGTGAAACAGGAACTCTCAGGTAATCACAGTTTACCCACAAGCCGAACAGTGTGACCGAAATGTTGGTGGTGTTGGTCTGTCATGACATTATGGAAATAATATGCCGCCATACGTGCACTTTCAGCCATAACATTAAAACCACTGATAGGTGAAATGAAAGACATTGGTCATGTTGCAACAATGCAACGTTCTGCTGGGAAATAGCACTAATGCGGATGTTACTTTGACGCGCTTCATGCACTTAAATATTGTTTAGACAAGGTACACCTGCCCCATGGCCACAGCAACCCCCATCACACCGCAGAAATCGAACAGCTTGAGGGACCAAAAGCCCAAAGTGTTCACCAGCTTTCAAACTACCCAGATCTCAGTTCAAATGATCATCTGTTAGATGTGCCAGTACAAACCTGATCGATGGAGACCCGACCCATCAGACCTAAAGGATCTACTGCTAACGTTGCGGTGTCAGACACCCCAAGATACCTCCAGAGGTCCCATGTTTTCTGCTCTGATGGATCAGATCTGCTTTGGTGACATAAGGGGGTGTCAGGGTCTTGTCTGGGCCTGGATCCAAAAATGCAATAACCGAGTTAGTGAGTGAAAACAAGGGGGATTTATTGTGTACAACAGTGGGGAGCCAAGGGACACCGGAGAGCTTGTGAGGGTAGCCAAGGGTGTGAGGGAAATCCTGGGAAGTTATCTGGGGGAGCTGGGAGGCGAGACGACAGAGGCTGGTTCTGCAGGCTGAGCTGAGGTTCTGGCAAGCGAAGACAAGAGAACACACATTAGACAAAACAAAGTTCAAGCAAAGCACAAAGTTCACTGAGCACTGCTGGCTTGTTACCACGCTGGGGAGCTCAATCCACTGGCGCTGGAGCACAGGTGGAGGCAGGCTTTACCCAGCGCTGATTGTGAATCCACGTCAGGTGTGGAGTGTGAGTGAACGCTCTCTCAATCAGGAACGCCCCGCCCAGCCTGAAAAGCATTCAGCACAGCAACCACAAAAACAAAACACAAAAACACCATTCTACATGCACAAAAAACTCAGATCACCACAAGGGGGACTCGCGATATTTGGCAGATGGTTTTAATGTTATGGCTAATCAGTGTATTGTATAAAGCAGATAGTCTATTTCAAAAAAGGAACAAATCCGTAAATGTTATAAGATATAATGACAATTAACTCAATTTCTTGAGTCTCGAGTATCATGAATTTGTGTTGTTTTGAGTCCATGAGTAGCACTTGATGTGACTTCCATAATCGGCAAGGATGACATAGTGTCGTCATTGAAGTGCTCTTTATTTCGCTAACCATTAGTTCACTTCCAGTTTTACACAAGTATGCACATTTATAGTTTGTATGATTGTCCCTAAGAAACATCCTTTTAATTGTTGTTTCTTGTCTGTCGATCCGTCCTGTTCTTGTGACTTGACATCTGAGATACACTTTGAGAGAATTTCTTCAAATTTGCCACAAATGCTCACTTGGGTTCAAAGATGAACTGATTGGATTTTGGTGGTCAAAAGTCACTGTGACGGGATGCTGCTATAGCTCACCTGGTTGAGTTGGCGTCCCATATACAGGGCTACGGTCCGGATGTGGAGGTCATGGGTTCGAACCCCGCTCATGACCCTTTCCCACACGTCCTCCCCCTACTCTTCTCCCCCACTTTCCTGTCTCTCTCTCACTGACCTATCAAATAAAGGCACAAAGGGCAAAAATATAACTTTAAAAAAAAAAAAAAAAAAGCCACTGTGACCTCACAAAGCATGTTTCAACAAATGATAGTAATGATCAAAAATAACAAAGTGGTGAGATTATATAAGTGGTGGTGGTAGCTCAGCAGTTAAGGCTTTGGGCTACTGATCAGAAGCGGAGCCAAGCTGCCTCTGTTGGCTGTTAAGTAAGTCCCTTGTCTTCTTTCTTTTAAGCAGCGCTGTTGTGTGGCTGAATCTGACCACAGCCTCCTAACAAGCTGGGATATGCAAAGACTGCATTTCATTGCATGCTGTGCAATGACAATAAGGTCCAAAATCAACATTACTTTAACAAAAAAAAAAAAACTACCACTTTTATTATTTAACGCCATAACTCAGGAACAAAACAAGAGAATGTGACAATATTTCACATTTTGTTGGATACTGAATTGATAACACCAACGTTAGGTGCTCACATATTCATTTCCTTCAAAGTCTTCACTACATATATGGTATGAGTCTTAACAGACATTGACATAAACTACAACTTGACTGGTTGACAGAGGCGTGGAGCCATAAGGTGGTAATTGCAATTTCAGTTGTTGGTAGAGGTTATATGAATAAACCCAGCTCCAAGGGTAATACAGGTGCATTCATTTCCAATGGCAAACAAGCATCTGTGTCATAAATGTCTGGTTAATTGTTAATTACCCTAGTGTGATAGGAAACAGAAAACAATGGCTTATCAGTTTTATGGTTTCCTGTTTTACATATCAATTAGGTACCTGTGGGTCTGGTTTGTTGGTCAAATTGAATCCTATTTGATAGATCAAAAAGTTAATAAGAATCTATAGCCGTGCTGGCAGCTCTGTGAGGCTGAACTGAGGTGCTCCAGCTCTTAATAAGCTTAAGCTAAGTGCTACGAGGCTTACATTTAGCAGGTATTTTGTTACGAACATTAAACATCGTAGTTAAACATCTTAGTGTGCAAACATATTTTTGATTATCACGAAACGCAGTACAGCTGAGGCTAATGGGGACAGTTTTTGGGCTGGCAAATGACCCACTGCATTGTATGTAATGAGAATATTCAATGAGTCTGATCTTGTTCTTCCACCTTTTCAAGCAACACCTCATCAGAAGTGTCTTGTTTATTGTTTCCACTGACAGCATATATCAAAGGAGGCTGGATTCTTCGTAAGGCCTGGAAAATGTACAATAAGTGCCACAGCGACATCAGCCAGCTCCAGGAGTCTTGTCAGCGGAGGTCCTCCGGCAACCAGGAGTCCCTGTCAGCGGACAATGCCAACCACAATGCTCCGGTGGAGAATGCTGTGACAGCCGATGCCCTGGACCGGCTCAAGGGCTCTGTCAGCTTCGGCTACGGCCTCTTCCACCTGTGCATCTCCATGGTGCCGCCTCACCTCCTCAAGATTATCAACCTGCTGGGTTTCCCCGGCGACCGTCTCCAGGGCTTGTCCTCCCTGATGTACGCGAGTGAGAGTAAGGACATGAAGGCACCACTAGCCACGTGAGTATCCTCAACTCTCATCATTGTTTTACACAGATGGACAGGTAAAGTACAGTCTTAATTTAGCAATAAATAATTACAAATCACAGATTAAAATAAACTGTTATTTTGACACTGCTTTAATCTTGTTTTCTGTTAGTTGATCAAATGACTATGTGTGAAATGAAAGGTGATTAAGCCAGATAATCGTCGTCCATCTCTGCAGTGCCCTTCAGCTCTGTTGAGTGTTTTTGTGTCTTTCAGCTGATTATTTTGATTTCATGGACTACAACTTTACTGTTTTGGTTCACATGTATCACTCCTGTCAGTTCCAGCTGTTTCTGTTGATAAAGTTCTTTAACTTCTCAGAACTAAATGACAAACGAAGTTACTAACGTAGAGGCTGAAACAGAACTAAATCAACAGTAACTATGACACTTACATAAATGAAGTTATTGGTAACAATCAGGTTTTTCAGATTATAATGTGTTAATAATGTGTTTACAGCTAGATGCCTCTGTAGCAGAAAAAAAAATAATCAAGAATTGTTAATGCTATGTTCTGGAATCTTTGGAACAAACTATGTCAGGTTTTGTCTTGTGATCCTTCATAGTTAAGCTTTATCACAACCAAAAACCTAAAAAAAAAAAAAGAAAAAGGAAAAAAAAAATAAGCAAAACACTAAACAAAGGCACTAGACACATTAAGTCTGTGTTATAAAAATGAATAAAAATTCAAAATCCATTTTTGTCCCTCACAGAGCATCTTTTTTGTTTGTTTGTTTCACTTCAATTAAAAGATGTTTATGTTGTGTATATAATTTCCCTTTTTCTGCCTTTTGTAAATTTAAATAGTAATTGAAGCTGGAGTAATAAACTTGATAAAACAATCCCAAAAAGTGTTGCAGAGCGAGGTGTAAGGTAGCACGGTGAAGCATGGCAAAGACGAAGCATTATGCCGACATAAGTGAGTCAGAAAACAGGAATCCAATTATTTGCTTAATAAACAATATATATTAATATATATACTACAACTTTAGGGCGGAGCTGATGAAGTTCATTTCTGCCTCTGAAATTATGAAAATACCTAAAGGAATGTGAACCTTTACACATAAGAGGGCTGGTGTGTAGTCAGGGAGGGAGCTTGAGCTTCTCAACACCAAGGCTCATTTATTAAGTATTTCTGAACCCTTGATCATATCACATAAGTCTCATTATCCAATTAGAGGTGTTTTTTGTTTGGGTTTTTTTTGACTCGGAGAGAGCAGTTTTCAAAAGTAACCTCACAACTGTCTTCATTCATTTGCTGCACACGACCTTTGAGAGTTATTTTCTAAGCTCAAGTTTTAGGCCGCATAGACGAGTAGTTCAAGCTTTTTTTTTAATATTCAGGTTAATGCCAATTCAGACTTAGATTTAAAAAAAAAACAAACAAAACCTGAAACCTGCCATCTCTTGTTTTGTTGCTCAGGTTGGCCCTCTTGTGGTACCACACAGTAGTGCTGCCTTTCTTTGCTCTGGACGGCTCTGACACACATGCAGGGCTGCTGGAAGCCAAAGCTATTCTGCAGAGAAAGTCGGTGGTTTACCCCAACTCGTCTCTCTTCATGTTCTTTAAAGGACGAGTTCAGAGGCTAGAGGTACGTAATGCAGACCTGAAGTTTATCATAACCATAAGCCAAACTTTAACCGATCTGTTTAAGATGCAAATTGTCCACTTGTGTCATGCTGGATGAAGACACTGGATGAGAAGTACAACAGTAGAATTAGACAAGCATAGCAGCCTCTCTGTTAAAAGACATACAGTTAATATGCATGTGTAACGGTTCATTCACTCATCAACATGTGATCCACCATCTACTGATCTAACTCTGTCATTCAACACATGCATGTAGTCTGTGTCCAACACGATTAGCGTTACCTGTTGGTGTGTGTGCTCTCTCCTCTGTCCCCAGTGCCATATCAACAGTGCTTTGGCCTGTTTCCATGATGCATTAGAGCTTGCATCAGACCAAAGAGAGATCCAGCATGTGTGTCTCTATGAGATTGGTACGTGTTTTCTCATCAGGTTAGTTGTGACATAGTGGCTGCAGGCTTCCAGCTCAGTGAAGGATTCATTGTATTCTGTGTGCCTTTCTCTGGATCAGGTTGGTGTAGCATGATAGAGATGAACTTTGAGGACGCATACAGGGCGTTTGAAAGGCTGAAGAATGAGTCACGCTGGTCACAGTGCTACTACGCCTACTTGACCGGAGGTGAGTCTGACACACACTAACAAACACTCACACTGCTGGCTTTGCTTCTCTCCCTTTCATGTTGCGTGCAGGCAAGCAGCATGAAACCAGTTGTTTTAGGTTTAGCAAGGTTATTTATTGCTTCGTAACGTGATTAACAAACAAATAAGACAAAACTGCAAAGTTGGCATTGCTAAATAACAGAAAACAATTAAACAAAACTCTCTAACAGATTGGTAATGTCATAAATCTGCAAAATCAGAACAACAAAAAGAGCTATGATACTGAACCAAACCAAAACAATAACAGCACCTCACCTGTGTGCCTTGTGTCGAAGAAAGCCTGCTAATGAAATGTGTGCAGGTGTGTGAACTTAACTGAAGTCGGGCTCACACTGCAGGAGTTTGAAAATCCTGACAGATTTTGAAATCAGGTTGCATTACACACATAAGGAGACATTTCACAGATGTTCCTCTATATAATCTCAGACATGCACACACGACAAGTCTGGAAAATAATGGCCCATGATACACTGGAGGACACGACATGGATTATCGATCTGTAAACGTCTGGCCTAAGTCTACTCCTTCCTGCTTTCCTGACAAACTTAGTGTAGCTTTGCTGAACTCACACTTGGCTAAATTTGCGGTGAGGGACACCTGGAAGAGTTGGGAAAACCCTGCCAAAGAAATTGCTTCCCACATATAGATGTACAAAGTGAGATCATCCAGGACTATTTTACCAATCTCTGAAAGGTGACAGGTGCCTGGTTGAGTTTCCAGGTGCTACAACAAGCGAAATAAATCAAAATTCTGGCAGCAACCAGCAGCAAGTGGCTAAAGAATACACACTGACCACAAGTAACCACTGACTAAGTAACCACGAGTAAGTGATTACAGAACAACAGGTACAGAGGCGAACTCCTCACATTAAATCACTGCTGCCCTAATCTGACTGACTAGATGTAGCATGCAGGTATAAACCTGCTATTGTGTGCTCATTTTAGACGCCTTTATCCTTCCCTTCTGCTATTTGTGTGTTACCATTACAACCGCCAGGCAGCAATTTACCACATAGAACATTTCTGAATTTGGACCCTTTTTTTTTTTGGTTTTTTTTTTTTATTGCCGTTTTTTTTTTTTTTGCTTGCAATTTTTCCCCCCCAGTTTTTCCACTTTTCCTTTTTTTGCCGGACCCTTGAGGCCCCTTCTTTTGTTTGGCCTTGTTGCTTTTGTTTGATATTGGGAATTCCAACCAGGCCGTTTTTTTTTACCTGTACAACAGAATGATAGTGCCGTGCAGTCAAACCGTCATGTTCTACAGAATTGGCTGGCAAAGCAGGACTTCTGCTGCTCTGACTGTTAAACTTGCTGCACTGTTAAAGCAATTTACAGCTGCAGTGTGACTGGAGCACAAGACTTCAATCTGTCAGAGACAGCCAGGAGGTGCAAGAGCTAATCCTGGACAAGGGTTTGCACATACTAGCTTGCTTAAGACACCAAAAAAAACAACTCACAATGTCTAGTTCCCCCACAGAGAGAGAGGATGAGAACCCTAAAGGCAGTAACAGTCCTCTTTGTGTTTTCTCTCAGTGTGTCAGGGAGCCGCAGGAGACCTGGATGGAGCGAGCGGTGTTTTCAAAGATGTGCAGAAGCTGTTCAAGAGAAAAAACAATCAGATAGAGCAGTTTGCTGTCAAAAGGGTGGGTATTGCTACAACTTTTACCCCCTTTTGAAAGTCATCACGAGTGAGCCACACAAGTTTTCCACATCTATGTGATTCCTTTGTGCAGGCTGAGAGACTGAGGAAGATCTCGCCCACCAGAGAGCTATGCATCCTCGGAGTAATCGAAGTGCTTTATCTGTGGAAAGCGCTGCCGAACTGCTCGTCATCTAAACTGCACATAATGAATCAGGGTGAGTGTAACCTGCATGATTCAGAAAAACATATAACATGCAGCAGCAACATTTCTGGGAATTATTGCCCTGTGTGATGAATTCCTCTGGTGTGTGCTCAGTGTTACAGAGTTTAGATGACGCTTCGTGCAGAGGCCTGAAACATCTCCTTCTCGGTGCCATTCATAAATGTCATGGGAATATGAGAGATGCTCTTCAGGTATCAGTCCACACTCAGAGCTGAATGTGTTTGCAGTTAATCCACTCTGGTTATTTATACTCATCCTGTTCTTCCTGTTCATTTCATCTGTGATCCAGTCATTCCAGCTGGCTGCTAGAGACGAGTACGGGCGACAAATCAACTCATATGTTCAGCCGTATGCTGTCTACGAGCTGGGATGTGTTCTCCTCGGAAAACCAGAGGTCAGTCTGCTGCACTCAACTTTCCGATTTATTTTTATGTGGATTGCAGTGCTCAGTTATAACACTAAGTTTCTATATTTACAATTCAGACAGTGGGGAAGGGGAGATCATTGCTGCTTCAAGCAAAGGTAAAAATAATTACACATGATCATCTAAATTAGAGTTCATTATAGTTTTCTCAGATTTGCTAAATCTATTTATCGTTCTATCTGTTTAAAATGTTTTAGGAGGATTTTACAGGCTACGACTTTGAGAACCGGCTTCACGTTCGCATCCATTCAGCCCTGGCTTCTTTGAAGGAAGTGGTACCTCAGTGACTCCAGAGAATAGAACTGCCGTGGCTCAAGCTTTGCACAAAGTTTTAAGCCATTCACAGTAACCGTTTGACATCTGAGTGAACAGACTCCTGTGTTTTTCATTCTTAAAGGATTCAGAGAAATACACGTTTGTCACTTACCCAGTCAGACTGATGATAATCTCTGTGCATTCTGTGCAGCAGTGGACATATGTCCATACTGGCTCAGCACACAAGTGGAAACAGCTGGTGTGGGTGCAGCCAGCGGTATAGAAACTATGCTTAAAATCTCCAAAGTTATCTTACTGGTACAGACGTGTCTTGTTACACAGCAAGCTTGTCACCAGTATTCATTCATGCTTGAGTATACGGCAAGTAATTTCCACATTTAATATGTATTGCAAATGTCTGTAACTCAATTCTTCCTTGTCTAAAAGAACATTTTAGACATCCGCATATCATTTCTCCAGCACAAATTACATCTCTATTGCAATTCATGTGTAAGGGATTTTTCACTACATATCTACAGTTCATCTACAGATATCTACACTGTAAATTGCAAATAGTTGCAGCTGAACTGTCACTAAATTATGACTAGTTTCAGTTATCTAAAGTTTAATTCTGACTAGTCATAATTCGACTTCAACATATCTTTAATTCTTCTCAAGTCAAGATTTTTACATTGTCCTTTTAAGACACTGTGTCTTAAAATAAGTTTAACTTTTCAGAATGACATTGTAGAAATTTCAGAATGTAATTACAGATATTTTGAATGTGAGTTTTGACTAAATGATGTTGCAGATTTCTGTAGTTATGTCAGAAAGTACGGCACGTAGGAAGTGATGAAGGTGCCACGGCATATGGCAAAACGTTTTACCGCCACATCAGAGCAGCTTGAGGCCAAAGTTCTGGTAAATTTCAACCACAAGCCTCTAATGATCTCCACAAACTCTTTGCTGATGAGCTCTTCCTATAGAAGGCATTTTGTAATGATTTTATTCTCCACATCAGATGCCATTACTTCTGTTAACACTGTTAAAGTGCTTTGATGAACCAAAACCCAATGGGAAGCCTCACATGAGCAGCATCATGCACACAAACTAGTCCAAATGACATTTGAGACATTGACAACTATTATTTTGATTTGTCCAAACTGAATTAATAATCGCCATTGTGACGAGTCAGAATAATCTTTAAAATATAGATTTATCTGAAATAAAAATTCTGTCTAGTCACAGAGTAGCTACAATTAGTCAAAATGACTTTGCTGATATCTGTCATTTTATTTCTGGAAAGTCAGACTCAGCTATTAAATGTTCAAGCTGCTTGCTGTATGAGTACAAGGTGCAAAGCTGGCAACCCCACTGATGCTACAGAGCTGTTGAGGCACTGCCACCCAGCAGTCATTGGTCAAGAACAGCAAAACCACAAGGTAGAATTGTTGCATTTCATTTGGCATTATAGTGTAGAATTCATAACAACCAGCACACTATATAAATAAGACAATTTAGTAGGGGTGTTTTATTTAAGTTTCACAGAGCTATGCTGGCTGTTTCTTCCTGCTCTCTGTTTTTGTGCAAAGCTAAGCCTGTTTCTGGACTTAATGCACAGAGATGAAACTGATATGAATCTCTAACTGTTCCTTTCAGTGTTTTCCTCACCCATATGTGTTCGCTAGCTTGTAACAACTTTCCTCATTGTATTTGGAGGATTTTTAATTCTGCCTCTCCCTTTAGTGAGAAATTCAGCACCTAAAAGTAACGAGATCCTTCAATAGTAGCTTTACATAAATAAAATACAGGTAATAGTGTTTTTCACACTCATTTGAGCCATTTGAGCACCTCGCTCCAGTAATATCATAGAGTAAATTGATGCCAGTTCTTTACCACACCACATATAAAAAAGAAAGAGTAACATTTAATATTTGGTTTTTATATATTCTTAAAGGTGACTCTCTGTGTTGCTTTTTGTGATTAAATTTACATAAAGTTGCTTGTCAAATTGAAAAATAGACTTTAAAATGAGTCATATCACACAGGGGGTCACTTATATTCACAACAGAAATAAACTGACAAACTAAGATGTCACCACAGGGGTTAGTTAAACAACATCACTGGTCACCTAAAGTCACAAAGAGTAATAACTAGGCTGATGTGAGTCAGTTAGTCCCATTCAAGTAGTTGGACATTATAATAAGTGCGATCACCACACTTCACAATGTCCTGATGATTTTTTCTTTTTTGAAGTGACAGCATTGGGCATTGATTTTGTGCACTATGCATGGTATGGCAGGGTAACAGCGGCTTTAAGACTGTACTGAAGTCAAATGTACCTGTGTGTCCATTCCTGCATATACATTAAGGTATTTTAACAAGTACCTGCAGTACTGTAATGTTACCACTCGAAAGGTGCTGCTAAATGTCAGCCTAAATAAACATGTATTACTTATTTTAGTAGTGTTTTAGTGATAAAAGCTTTTAAATTAGTTCTTAATAGTGGCAAATTTATTTACTACACAACAGAAGGTGTACTTTTACAAGCATTATTTATGCTATTTTTGGTTGGTGGTGGCCAGTTTTAGCAGTCAAGTTGATTCTGCTGTACGATCTTGCATTGGACAAACAGCACTGCTGAGAGTGATTTTAACAACCTTTCTAAACTGTTTTACTCTGTACATATGAAGTATTCTGTGCAGGGTTTTTGCCTTTTATTAAAAAGCACTATGAGTATTTGTCATCCGAGCAATATAAGCGAATGAAGGGTGTCCTGTAAGTACAGAGGCTTTCGACAACAGTGTTTTTCATCTCATGTTCAAGGTTGTGGACTTCTACATTTCTGTTGCTCACACTTATCTGGTAAGACAATGCTCGTCATCCCTCGTGGCTGTGATGGATGTAAAATTGTGGTAAATGTTGAGGTGACCGCCGTGCAAGTGGTCGGTAACGTAACGGTAAAATGTCAGTAAGATACTTCTGTCACTGAAAAAAGTTTTATTGTTTTTTTTTTTTTTGTTGTTGAAATTGAGGTTTCAAGTCAGGATGATGGTGTTCCAATGTGTCACTGAACTCTACAATAAACTGTTCTCCATTAATCCAGGAAATAGTTTTTTTTTTAATTGTTCTTTGGCTTTCCCTTCCTGCAATTGCACTTTGCACTGTTGATATTATGTTGTTCGGAGGCAAACACATCCATCTGACAAAAGAAATAACTTAGATGCCTACAGAAATCGAAAAATGCTTACGTGGGAAGTGTCTTTGTGTCTTCGAAAAGCTGAGACAAAGCAGAGAAGGTCCACTGAGACACCGCAGACACTATCTTATACTGTCTTTTATGATCAAAATCATCATTTTCAGTACAAAAACTGGAAGACTGAAGTTACAGCACAGAACATAGATGGTAGCAACAAAGTAATTAACTCCCCCAAAAATGCAAAAAAAATACAAGATTACATAAAACAACAACAAAAAGATTCACATTTAGAAATTAGTAGTTCCATAAAAACAATTCTATTTTCATTGACTGCTTGAGGACACAATCCAGTTTTTTAAAATCCTTTTAAAAGTTACCTAATTTGAGTGGTGAACAGAGAGGATTTGTGGAACTAGTAAACCAGATGCTTTAAATCCTCCACATGAAAGCAAAGACTGCAGACAGACATTTCTACTGTTCATTTCTGAGTCAGTCAGAACTTTAATGAACATTTTCAATCATAATATCTAACTGTAATCCACCTTGCTTTTTATCTTTTCTCCACCAGGGGGAGCTTATCTCACAGCTGTGTTCTACATCTTCATGACAATGACAGCAGGGCAAAGCCACAAAAATAAATTAATCTTAGTGAGGATCCACAGTGAAAGAAAGCTACAAAAGCGAGTCCATTTACTCAAATACTGTACTCGACTACAACTGAACGTTTTCTATTTCAAGCTTCTAGGTTTCTAGTCGCTTGCAGATCCAAGTGTATTTTATTCTACTACTTAATTACTATCTAGTTTAATTAACCAATACATTGTGTTTTATTGTATGACATTAATTGACTCAGCAGCAGAATATGAAGTCGTTACAAGCAGTGGAGGAAGAAGCATTCAGATCTGTTTCATAAGCAATACCTCCATAAAAAAATACTTAGAAGTAAAGTCCTCTGCTCCAACCCTTATTTAAGTTAAAGTATTACGAACGAGAAAGTGTTAAAGTATAAAGGCAAAAGCATTTTTTTGGCATAAAAATGTGCTCCGTCGGGGTTCTATTTTTCTTTGTTATACAACTGGATTATTACTGCAGATGCAATACAGTTCTTCTCTGGTTGCTGATTAAATCCCAAAAAACTCATCTCAGTCAGTCATAGTGTTGACTGCTTGTTTCACAGAGTGTGTCTTCCAGTATATAAAAACCCTACATTGACATTTTAAGGGTTTAGAAAAAACAAAACAGGATTTTTACTGAAGCAGGTCTTTAATATACAGAAATGATTTAACTCATTTTATATACTGTCAGGTGGCTGAATTTACTGCAAAACAATTGATTATATTTTGTATTATTTATTAAATCATAATAGAGTTTCAAAGTTCTGATGTGTAATAACATAACTACAGCTGTCAGATAAATGTAGCAGAGTAAAAGGTAGTAGAAAATAGAAAAAGAAAGCAACAGTAGCTTAGTAAATTTACTTACTCTACACCACTGCTAACCATAGCTCTTTTTTTAACACCTGCAACTCTCAAGTGATACTTACACATTATTGCATCCATAAACAGACTCCAGTCAGCTTAATAAGTGCTTCACGTCTGGTGCTTGGTAAGTACATTTTGATTTTATAACCTGCGTCTTTGTAGATTTTCATTTTATCCAGCCCATGGTGATTCTATGTGCTTCAGTAGACGGCAACTGAACTTCAGCTCTCATTCAAGATGCTTCCTCAGTTAAAGGTGACTGATGGGGAGTCCAGGGTATTTCTTCTCACCTTTAAATCACACGGAACGTAACCTGTTAATGATTCAAAACTGACAAGACTCAAGGCATGAATGGATATGAAAAAACCTTGGGAGGGATCTCAGGACTGCATTATAAATACCTGATGAGTGGTTTCATAGACGTCTTCTTTTGTTTAGAAATAAAATATCTTCAGGAACCAAAAAGAGAAGTCAGATTGCCTTCTACTGAAGCATTTAAGATTTTAATACTTATGTACTTTAGTAAAATGTTAAATACATGACTGACTATAGTATTTATACACTGTGGAATTCCTACTTTTATTAAGATAAAATCTAGCAATACGTCATCACCTATCCACTGGTTACAGCTGCACATTTAGATTTGTTTCGTGTTATTCTGTAATGCGGTTTTGTATCATACTAAGGGGTTTCTTTCCCATTCTGTGGATTACGTTTGAATTTATAATTCAGTTCATGATATTATTGTGTCTGCTGTTTGCATGCTGAATGTGATCAGGGTCGGAGTTTGTCCGACACGCTCTGACGGACACACGCCAAGAGCGTCTCTTTAAGGAAACATGTCTGTCACACCAGGCTCAAGGCAGAAACTCACTCAGCCAATAAATTATTCAGGCTCCTGTGCCACTGAATTTAGAAATGGCAGAGCAAAGCTGGAAGGTTGGGCAGAATAAACCTCCTGACTCCTCCTCTACTAGACTCTCCTCAATAATCACAAGATATATCCTTATATCATCACTTTAACAAAAACCCAGAGCATGCAGCTTGGCCTACTTCACTAAACGTACCTCACTCAGTATGTGGTGATTCATAAGAGTGACATCATCCTTTTTTATCTGTAATGATTCACACTTATTACATTTATTGAGCGTCATTTGAAACAGGACGTGTGCAGCATATTCTTTCAGTGCATGGATTAGACCTTGAAGTCCTAATGCTGATGAATTAAATAAAGCAGTTGCATCAGATGGAAGTGAAGGAGGCAGAGAGGGCCCTGGAGAGATGTTATACATCCACTAAATATGGGAGAGAGAGCGCAGTAGGTTTGGTTGGACTGTGCAAAGAGCAAGGTCACAATTGCATTGTGTTTCACTCAGGCTGAAACCTGAGCAGCCAGAGTATCCTACCACCAGATAGACAGTTCATGTTCACTATCTTTTACTGCTCCTAAGCCTCTTTACAAAACTCGACAAATCATTCCCATTGACAGGCGAAAATAGAGGCAATTTAAAATCAATTTGAACATATAGGTGGTTGCTGCTTCTGTGTTTGTCTTGATGTGCATGAAAGGCAAAAGAAAATGTATTGATCTGGTAGCAACAAGCTCTACAGGCACTAAACCATTATGGTCCTTTAGTGTGCAGATGAGGTCATTCGCACAAGGACGCATTGACATTATTTGGCCTCCTCCTCCTCTCTGTGCAATCAGCTCAATGACTGTGTGAGAGCTTCTCTATAAACATCTCTGCAGGTGCTACTCTTCATCTGGCCTGCTTCTCTCTGATCAAATTGAAGGTCCATCATTAGTGATTTAATGTTTGAGAAAATAGTTATTCTTCAACATAATGGCCCTTTTAAAAATTGCACAGATTAAATTTGTGTTTTGTTACTAGCAGATCTGATATTTGGCATTTTTCTGATTGGCAGGATCTTTATTTTTTAAACTGCTCCCTGATTAAGTAAACTGATATAAAACATACACTACTTTGCCTCTGGTGTCTCTCCATCTGTAGTCTGAAGCAATGTCCAACACTGTCTGACTGGTGCCACGTCAAGACTAACAGCCAACCAACACAAAAGGACAAATGTTAATGAGTTCTTTTTTAATTAAACATGTAAACATTAAATAAACTACAGTATTTCAACAAAGTTTTGTGTTGAAATTTGTATTATTCTAAATTATGAAGCAGAGATTTTCATTTTTAATGCAACTGTACAGCATATCCATTTAGAATATAGGCCATTGATCTCCTTGATTAACAGAACAAAGAACCCAAAACAATCCACATAAAATAAGAATAAAAATAAAATAAAATAATAAAATAATAAAAATGCATACATTTTTATAGGGTCAGAACTTTAGATCACCTCACAGCAAGAAAGTTCTGTTCAGCTGTGTGCATGTTTTCTGTGTCAGCATGGGTTCTCTCTGGGTTCTCAGGGTTCCTCCCACAACCCAAAGACATGCATGTTAGGTTGAGTGTGAGCAGGTTTGTTTCTTTGTGTTGACCCTGTGATCAACAGGTGACTTGTCCATGGTGTAAGTCACCTGGATTGATTGACTGATGGTATCAGTAAATGTAGTGAAGAGGAAGCATAAAGTAGCATGAAATTAAAATAACCAACTGAGGCACCAGTACATCAAACCTGCACATACTTGAGTCAAATTCCCCCACTGGTATTAAGTCATAATAACAAATAATGTGGCATTATTGTTTTCATTTTTGTTATTTCCATTAAAGAAGATCCCTGTCAGCTCATATGTTTAAGCTGCATGTAACCGGATATACAGGTGTAGCGTGTCACATGACAAGGAGAGTAGGAAGAGCACAGGTGTAAATAATAACGTGAATAATGGCTGCATAGCTGCTTCGGTGTCAGGGTCCTAACAGTGTGCATTTAGGACACATTGTTACATAACACCTGCACTTTTTCTAATATGACAAGTCAATATTTCTTCTGTGAAAATGTTTGCATGCAGCATATGTTTCCCAACATGTGTACAGGAGATATTTAGAACATGTGCATTTGTCCCTGTCGTGCCCTCCCCTTACAAATGGCAACTTCTCACACTTTCTTTTTCTGTGTTGTTGGACTGAGTGGGTGTGTTCATAGCAGGTGTGCAGACAGCTGTGTGACAGATTTCATCACCTGTTGCTCATTACCTCCTCTCCTATAAAAACCCGGCTCAGATCTCCATCCATCCTTGGCTCTTGGTCTGAATCAATGTTCAGCTCACAGTATTTGATAATGTGAGGGGCTTACAGATCCAGTCTGAAACCTTCTGAGCTGTTTCAGACTCACTGGGGCCACACTGACAATATCAAGCATGTCTGATATTCATAAGAATCTGGATGGGTATAATTATTACACTAGCACCCGGAGCAGCAGACACTATCATTCTAGCCCTTGATGCTAACTTTAGCTACAACAATAAAAAATTGAGAGTTAAACTTTCACCTTGCAGGTCTCACTAAAGAATCAATAACTCATGGAGGCCTCTCACCTTCCCATTTTCTCTCCAGACTCATTGAGTCTCCTGCTTTTTTTTATGTTCTCATTGCAATAAGTTGCTGCATCACAGTCTCCATTTTGTTTACATCTGCTTCCCCATGAGATCACGTGATCTTCTGGTACGGTTATTTTAAAAATAACATTTCGCAGTTTGTTATTTGCCATTGCTTTTAGTTGTTGTCGCGTTTTCATGTATGAGGTTATGAAGCAGAATATCTGTGAAGTTTCTTATGTGGGCCGATTTCAATTTTAAAACTCATTGTGGCTCTGAATAAATAATAGTAAATAACATCTGCTTTTGGATTCCGGCTCAGCCATAATATTACCCTTAAACAAAAAACATAAAGGCCTCTAACTGAAAAACTACTATGTGTGAGTGTGTGTTGACTCAACAGGAATAATATAAAATTGGGAAATGTTAATCTAAAAGAGAACAAACATTTAAACACAAAACAGAATTCCTGAGAGCCGTACTACATTATTTTGGGTTTATAGTTTGAATTCTCACCTGGTTCCTACATTGTCTTTGCATATATAAAGACATTGCCACGATAAACTGATGCAAAACCTACACCCATGTTTACCTCTTAACATTTCGTATTTGCTGCAGTAAACAGAGGCTGTGGGGACACAACTTCAAACTGCAATGCAGACAAACTCACATCCCCCCAGTAAGAGGCATTCAGGGACAACGCTAATGCAAAAGCCACACAAAACTGTGGCATCACTGAGCTGCAATGTGTATAATCCTGTTTTTGTGGCCTGACTCTGCTCTGAGATGCTGCATATATTGTGTGTTTCCATGGTGCAGCGACCTGCTTGTCTCCTCTCAGCTGGATGTCCCTGGTTTGACCTACTAAACCTCAGAACATGTCCCCACATCAACTGCATGCAAAGCAATTGCTGCAACCAACCTGGGCTTTTGCAAATATTAATACCCCTGCTTGGTGTTTGTTTTTAACTTTACACACAAAAAGGATTGCACTCCCTCAGCATCTTTAAAACCAGGTGTTTGAAGAGGGATCTTGCCTCCCCCTCTCCTGCTCCCTCCCTCATCCTCCTCCTCCTCCTCCTCCCTCCGCATTGATGCTGTTGCCTCCCTCGGCGGTGATGTCAGCGGAGCTCAGGCATCCTCCTCCTGCCAAAGACACGGAGACTACAGAGCCATTTTGACCGCTCCGGCTCGGTGGGGCTAAACCAGTCCATCCACCCAGCGGCTACCAAGCGGCCAAAAAAACCCTCCTCACACGGCCGGAAGGAGGAAAAGAAAGAAGGGGGACGGAGGTAGTTTAACGGCTGCTTCATGGCGAGGAGGCGCGTCTGCTAGCAGGGGCAGAGCCGGGACCTAGAGGTGGAGGTAGCCGGAGGATAACACACCGGAGAGAGAGAGAGGGAGACACTGCAGTCGGAGGTAGGAGAATTTCAAAATATTATATATATATACATATATATCTTTACGTAATTCCTTCATTTTCGAGGCTTTAATGCGGCTTAAACGAGGCGGTGTGTGTTTGCTGAGTGTTAAATCTCCTGGGAGGAGATGGGCTCAGGGTGCGGCCATGGTGGAGGCTTCAACGGTACGGCGACAAAAAAATAAATACATTTAAAAAACCCAAAACATTAGAGCTGCGGTTTAACACGGTTCATGGACTGTCACGGTGCATTCGTGCCAATATTTTAGCATAAAGTGTCTTTTTATTGTGTGTGCGTGTGTGTGTGTGTGTGTACGTATGTGAGTATGACGAAGGGAATGACAGTGTCATGTCAATGGGCGAAAGGTAACCTACTGGACGTTACATGTTATTTTAAACTACGCAAAAAGTCTGTCTTCATAAACAGCAATGAAATGTCAGCTAAATCTTCATGTAGGCCTTTAGCTTGGCTTCACTTGTCATTTATTGTTTTCTGTTATCCCTAAACCATGTTATTTTTTTGTATACATATATATATATATATATCCAGAAAAAATGAGACAAAACTGTCATACAATGCTCTCATGTAAACACCAGTCTGTATATTACATTAGCCTTTGTCACCGGGAAAATGGTGGCCGCCCAGCTGAGCTGCATCATCAGCTGATTGGACTGAGCATCTGTGAGAGCAGATTATGGCCATGGATGTTGTGTGTGAGAGGAGAGAAGAAAAACAGATTAAGTGTTCATTTTTAAGAATTATTTTTTTTCCACAAGATGTCATGCTGCACAGTGAATGGACGCAGACGTATGGATTTCATCTTCATCACTTCATTTCAGATGCTAAACTAGATTAAATTCACAGTGAAGCGTTTATTATTCACGAATTAATCCTTATTTGGTCTCAGTCTGGCCCAAAGCACCTTAAAACCTTCTTGCTGCTTTGCTGTTGCCATTACGTTACATGCTCTCGCCAATGGATGTGTTCAGGTGTCAGCTGTAGAGAGGATGTACCAGGAAACAGGGTGACACAGCAAATTCATGAGATTCAATAATGATGACAGGCATCTGAGTCACCGACTAATGGAACATTCTCAGAATATTTATCCAATTTAGCTTTTATTTAACCATTTATATTAAAAATCTTTGCCAAGACTGGAGCTTCATTAACTAACATAAAATGAAAGATGGTTTGCGTAAAGATCAAAGGTGTATTGCAGTGTTATTAAATCACAAAAATATATGTTGTTAGTCAGTGACGATGAACAACTGGGCCAATGTCACATGTACATCCTCGTGTGTGCCTCAAAGTCATGAAAAGTTGTCAGATAATTGAATATTGATATCAAATCCAACATTATCCCACACCTTGGGTACAAATTAGATAAACAAAGAACATTTTCTCTTATGAATATGCTGTAACGTGATTATTTAGTAGACCTGAGACAGCAGCAGTAAAAGATAACTGTGTTGCTCACTGTCGAGATTATTGACAAAAACGTTAATAGATTGTAATTTGATGATGAGTCACAGTTGCACTCGATACACCCACGACACACTAAAATCACACAGTGATTTAATGTTCATTTTCTAGTCTTTTGGGAGACAGTGGTTCATGAAACGGAGCTGCTGAATGGAGCCCGGCCCTGGATTTGTGGCTGCTTTCAGAGCCATTGTCATCCGGAGAAATAGCCTGACATTTAGCTGCTGCTGCACTTCTTTTGTTACAGTGAGCTTTATTATCCATCCCCCTTGGCAGTAGCTGACCATGCACGGTCTTTTCACGTTACAGCCACTCAGCCCTGCCCTCCTCTATTGTCCCAAACACGCCAACTGCAGCGTGTAATAGTCCACCATTTCACAAAAATATAAAAATCAGTCCGCTTTGTAACACTATGTAACATGACGCATGACAGAAATAGTTCTGTAAGTCGATTGCATATGAACTGACACATGTTAGTAAGTTCAGTAATTGGATTCACTCTCTCCTCCCTTCTACAGACCTGCAGGCCCCACACCTGGGCACTAAAGAAGGCACCCCGAGGTGCTAGGAAGACAGCACCATGGCAGGGGCCTCTGTGAAGGTGGCGGTGCGAGTCCGCCCCTTCAATTCAAGAGAGATTGGGAAAGAAAGCAAATGTATCATTCAGATGTCTGGAAACACCACCAGTAAGTAGTCTACACCCAACATTTTTCACTGAACTGACAACGTCTACTGTATGTCAGTTGTTTTTATTGTTTTAAATGCTAAATTAAATCGACAGTGGACTGTAGGAAATGTGTGAAAGGTGCAGAAAGTGTTTGGTAGAAGCTTGGACTGCAGGATTTTTCTCCACCCAGAATGTATGAGTTTGCAGCTGTACTAGCTCACCTTTAACTCTGACCTCTCTGTGTGATGGGATTACTGCAATTTCCTCTGCACAGGAGCCGGAGTGACTCTGCAAATCTCTGGTAAACAAGCAGGATACATGATATGAGCATTTATTCAGAATCAACTTTAACTTCAGAGGAAGCACATTTTCTCCTCTATCTCGGACACAAATGTCATCTCGTTGAACTTTTCTTCAAGACTGACAACTGTTTTCTGCTAAACAGAGCGAACACGAAAGGAGTTATCAATTTATAATCACCTGCTTTGTAAATCTCTTGAACAACACACTTCAGGTGACATAATGTCCATCAAATTTGACCTGATATTTATTTAGGGCAAGGCCTTTTATTTGTGTGTGTGGCCAGATTAAGGCAGATTAAAACATGGCTTTTGACTCAACATTTTCTAATCAATGTTTCCATTCAAATCTGCCCGCTAGTGCAGAGTACAGTTGGTATAACAGTGGCAGTGAACATTTGGAAGAAATGTAATTTTTGTGGTCCTAAAAAAAAAGAAATAACAATTTAAAATTTCCTGCCAAACCTGCTTTTATTTGTTTTTGTTCTCACACGTTGTAAAGTATGAAGTTCAGAGTGCTCCGCATTGCACGGATTTTACCGAGCACAGAGCGAGGAGACTGGAAAGACACTCGATATGTAGTCTGCTTCGCAAGGTAAAGCCATTCGTCAATAATGAATGAGACTTCCTGAAATATTTACCGTTTGGCCTAAATTAGCCATCTCCCTCCTCCCTCGTCCTGACATGGGTGACTAGACAACGAGCCGGGTGGCCTTTTTTTTGGCCGTCATGGTTTTATTTTTGATTTGTGTTGCAGCTTGTGATGTAGGCTGATGGTGTCTAAAATTTTGATGGCTACAGTAGGAGTTGTGCCACTTCCTCCTCTTGTCGTTACAGCAGTGGACAATGAGTGTTCAGCTGTCTGTCAGCATTGTCTCCTCGAGCAGTGTAAGTTTAGGTCAGAGCTACTGCTGTCCATTGGGAATCTATTGACAGAATGCCAATTAATGAAATGTCCTTGGAGACGTGCTGTTTGAATTGATCTGTGAGTCTGATTTTGATGTTTTCATCTAGCAAGTTGTCCAGTGAATTTTAGTTTTATCCTCTAAACCCCAAAACCTCCTGGCGGATTTAAAAGGCTTTTTTTTTGTTTTGTTTTTTAATTGCCAAAATTGCACCATTTATCAGCACCAAAAACTGTCAAAAGAGACAAAACTGTGGAATTTTTAACTTTCAGACAATTCTCAAAGTACTCATCTGTAACATGCTGTTCTATTGGAAAATTAACCAGATCTAAGCTTAAAATCATTATATCTAATCAGAATCACTCAATTCGAAATATACAGTTTTTTCTTTGCCAAATTTGCCCCAAAATAAAGCATTTGCACTAAACAGATTTGGAAACAGACTAAACAGAATGAAAGCAAATTTGCACTCCATAATGCATCTGAGAGTCTATGAAACTCAACTGCGACCAACAGTCGTGACAAAAATTTAGAGACTTTTCGAACAGACTGGGATGAACTGCTGGCTGTAAAAATAGAAGACACGACAGAACAAATTCATTCCAGTATTGGTAACACCTCTGGGTACTTGATAATAACATGTTGTGTCCAGGTTTTTTCAAATTTTTTTAATGAATAATCAAATATAACTTTTCATACTGCACAAAAGACATTTTTGAATTCTCTTTAATTCTGGCCATGGTTGTACTGTGTCCATAGATGTGCAGGACTTTTTTTACAGCGAAAAATGAGCCCAAAGTGATTATACTATAGTAGCAAAAAATGGCCAGAGGCTTCTTGGGGTTGAGTGACTTCAAGCATTAGAAGTAAATCTCATATAATCCCACATATTTAAACCAGGAAAGATGTCCTTGGACTCAGGTGAGTTTGGGAACTGCTTGATGCCTTACAAGTCACTAGGGCTGTGCAAAGATGAAAAAAAAAAACTACAACAAAAACCTGACATTGTGGTATTTTTCACCAGATGACTTGATGACTGCAGTATTTGGAGAGAATCAATCATTCTAGAATGAGTGGGGTGATTTTGTAGGGCATTCTCATTTCTCATCATTTCAGCTGAGCTGCAACACAGCACTTTGTGGTGCTGAAAATGGTCAAACAAATTAGTTGTGTTGCATCATGTAGTAGCAACAATTGCTCGACACTGCTGACAGAGTATCTATTTTTGGTCAATGTTGTCCTTTCTGTAGCTGAAGTATTTCCATACAACTGACGTTGCATTTCTTTTTGCAACCAAATCTTCTTTTTCAGTGTTTTTCTCCCGTTCCCATGGAGTATGCATGTCAACAAATCCTCTGTCTTGTGAGAGTTCAGAAAATCTCAGTGTGTCCAAAAACCTTTCAATCGGAGTACTTTATATTCTATCACACAGACTTCTCTAGTGGATTGCTCATGGAAAATTAGAATCCTGCAGATTTTCTTTTTGTATCAAGCAGCAAAAGGTTATGGTTTGAGTTAATTTGCTTTTCTTCACAAAGCACTTCTGCAGTGGGCTATTGCGCTTGCACACATTACAAGGTCGATGCTGCAATTATATATTGTGCAGTTCAACAATATGAACTGGCAAATGACAGTAAAAGCTTATCTGAAGAGGAAACATTAATACTCAGAAAGAGTGAATTGATGTGTGATTTTGACATGATGCAAAGCCTCCTCCACATTCATCACTGTGTTAAAAAAGTAGATCTGAATGTACAATTTTTTGTTAGTTATTTTAAAATCCAGAAATAATACTGAATTTAACATTATGCCAGCATCACTAGACAAGTTCATGTTGTTCAGACGCACAAAGCTGCTTTCAGACAGACTCAAGGTCTTTCAGCAGAGCAGATTGTTCTCTTCCAAACCGAGTCAATGGCTCTGGATGTGGGCTGGAGGATGTGAGTAGGCTGATGTCATGAAAAGCCCATTGGTTGCAGTGTCTGGAGGGGGTACAGAGGCAGGGTATAAATGCCCCCTTGTGCTTCTGCAGTCTGGGCTGAAGAAAAGAACAAGAAAAAGGAGTTCTGGATTTTTTGTGTCTCTCTCTCACTGCTTTGTGCTCTCTGACACTCATGTGTGGGTCAATAGCTGAGTTCCCACAAAGCGGGAGAATGGCAGTAATCTTGTTGTTTGATAGCTCTTCCCTCCCACGCTGACCTTAATTAAGATGCAGGGGACAGACCTGAAGGAATACTGGGCCTCTCTTTAGACGACTAGTAGGTGCAAAGACTTTGAGGCTGGATTTACATTTATTTTGCAGCAGGAAAGTTATAAATACATCAGAAATGTCACTATTTGATATAATATCTGTCTTTGCTTATATCCAAATGTGTTTGCAAATCTATGGAATTGTGCTGTATTTGTGTGTTTAAATGTAGACACACCATTGCAACACCAGCTTTTTCTACTTTCTGTCTACTTTTGTGTTTGTGATTGATTGTGTTTTATACTTTTTGTGCCTTTGGGGCTACAATCCAATAAATTGGGCGCTGGTTTCATTCAAGCAGCATGACACTGACAGAGTTCAGCAGGCTTAACTCGATGCAGTGACTGATGACGGTTAAAACCAAAAGTAATTTCAGTTTATCACAAGGAGGATGACATATTTTCCTGTTCCAGTTATAATAAGTCTTTTACTGGTAAAAGCTTACTTCTTTTCATATGAATGAAAACCAGGGAAGGTTTAAAGTCTTATTCAGCTGCTTTTTTTTGTCAGTCCACTACTAGGGCAGGGTGATATGGCCAAGAATATTTATCACGATATAAATGAGAAAAAATTGCGATAACGATATAACTGACGATATAATTGACACTAGACAAAATATTTCAAAACTGCACAACTTTTTTAGTGCAAATTTTAAAAAAAGAACAATTTCTTTTCCATTTCGCAAGCAGCTGTTTTTGATGTGCATTTAAGCTATATTGTACCAAAATCAATAGTGCATAAGTTGTAAATTGATGGCTGACAATTTGTTTAATCAAAAGACATTTCAAATGGAAATGGTTTTACAAATCCTGAGCATAGCAATGCATAGTATTCACAAAAGTAAAGTAGAGTTGCTTTGCAACATGAAACTTTGCAGCCAGTTTCTTTGGTCTTGAGGTGGAAGTGGGTGGGACGCACAGGCAGTACAGGGTAGCGGCGGGTGGCGGGCGAATATTCGGACTTCAAAATTGCTATCTGGACACCACCACAACAACCGAACATTCCGATCAGGTCCAGCCCTACTGTGTCGATTGATGCACTGCACTCGCCCTCCTCCTTGGTCACCACCATGCTTCTTGCTCCATGTGTATTAGACCGGACGAAAACAACAACACTGCGCATGCGCGTTTCACTCAAATTTTATTGCGATATTTCAATTTCATATAATCCTCTAACATTACACCGATATTACCATGCACAGCATGCTATGGCCCACCCTGTCCACTACTCATTTGGTGGATTCATGATGCTTTTTTTCAGCACAGTTAATGACCTTGTCACCAGTATTTTTCCAGCATAAAGAAATTAGTGCTGCCCCCAAAGAGGGTTTCAGTCAACCAAATACATATATTTTAGTCAGTTTTGTTTATTGGTGATTCACTTACTCAAACATACTTTGGTTTATCAATTAGTCAGAAATAATAGGAAAATGCATAAAGATCTGTCAAAGAAAGTAACCCAGACTGCTTGTCTTTACCTTACGTGGACTGGTCATGTTTACTGTCAGTGAGGCAGGAAAATCCCCAATTGCATGTTTACTGCTCTTCCATGCTAATTCAGGCACACA